AACATAGTCTCGGAGGCCGAGTTAAACTCTCTCTTATATATATAGATGTGTAACTGTGTGTCTATGTTGCTGGTTTAAAAAATTAAGCCTACTAGTAGAACACACATTTTCAGATTCAAAACTATTAAATGTTGGTGTGTCAATGCGCGACTATTACAATTTCCACACTTAGGCTAGAATAAAACTCTCTGGACTAGCATGCAATACAGAAGGCACGTACTTATATTTATTCAGAAAAATCTGACGGAAATGAAAGCATCTGATACATTACATTTTAAATCAGGCTGAGCAGTTAAGACATGTAAGAGGGCCATGTAACAGGATATGTAATTTATGGGCATCATGTTCCATGTGATCTCTTCAATTCAACTCCGTGCTTGTGAGGAGTTTTTTTTTCCTGTCAAGTGGTTGAAAAAAATGTATTTTGTTGCATTTTGGATGCCTCAATATTTCCTTTGAAACTTGACCCTAATTACATTTGTATGCAAAATTCTAACAACCAATATTATTGTAAGTGTCTTGAAAAAAATCGTGATTTGATAATTCTTCATATTTTACATAACCATGAAAACGGGGGACAGGAAACATGCGGTATTCACTCAAACTGCATACATGATCAGTTTAAAGGTATAGTCCATCATTTGTCATTTGTGCATTTTGTTCGTTTGAAGCAACAAAAGTGCTCAAGATCTAAAGAAGGGTACTGAACAACTAACCTGATGAAGTTTCAGTTCAGCTTTCATTAGCTGTATATTTCAAGAAAACAATATTCTAGGATCTCGATTTCGAATCAAAAGTTGCTGAATCATGTTTTGAATTTGGCCTGAATCCAGCGTCCGAGACACGTTGTCACTGAGCCGATTGCAGCTACACTGATCCGACGAATTATAGCAACCGAGGGCGCGTGTGCGTCGTGCCAATGCTTGCACGTGCTTCTTAAGAAGCACCACTGGAAAGGCCTGGTTTTGTTGATTTCTTCAAAATGACAGCTTGCCAGAAAGAACAGTTTCACAGTGAGTTTAGTCTTCTTACTATCTTGCAACCAAGTATGTTTTTCAAGAATAATTACGCCAGTTACTTTTTGGATAGCTGCAAATGATGGACTCTGGCTTTAACAAGGACCGCATCACCCAGTTGTCTGCTTTCTGTTAACGGCCCAGACACGGCGGGTTGCAAGCAACACATGGCTGATGCTTCAAACATCATGAACAGATCATTTCTGATATTAACAACCATAGCTTAACTAGCTTGCAGGCAAGCAGGCCGGTGCCATTGATTATGCCCGTAAGACACTCCGGGTATAAGTATACACGTAGGTTCCATGCTGTCTCGTATTTCATCTTGTGGGTATGCAATCATTCACATTTATGGGATTTTGTGTGGTCAATGCAGGCAATCAATTCTTACATTGTATATGGAATACATTTGGTATTTCAATTAGGATAAATTAGATGCTACAAATGTACATTTACATGTAGTTCTAAAAAAATTACAGGTACCGGTACATGTATTGAAGTACAAGTGTTTCAGAAATTTAATGGTACATATATTTTGCCAACAGTGAGAAAAACATGTTACACGATGTACACTGCAGGACAAGCGACAGAAGTACAATGTACCTGTATGCCTGAAAGATTCATGTTCAATGGAGGAATTTATGACGCACTAACTTTTAGACAGACAAGGCGTTTTCATATTCTTCTAAACGCTTCAGCGCACATCAAACCACTATTCACTATGGACTGTTCTGTACAACGAACAAACTGTGTACAAACGGTACATGTGTGAAGAATACAACTGTCATGACTGTATATGCCTCCCTGCATAATGGCAATTACACTGGTCGTCATGCAGTGGTGAACGAATCTTCAGTGTATAGGGCTCATTACAGTATTGATATGTACACTACATGTACATGTAGGTTACAGTTTATGTACAATAGGTGTACAAAATAAATGTAACAAGTTGGTACATGTACATGTACGGTACACAACTACAAGCTTTTTAGTGAACTTTAACCAGTTTCCGTCGGAGGACGTGATAACACGCACTGGCTGTTTTTATACACAGGCACGGCTGACGGGTTAAAACGTCAAGATTGCCTTGACTCGCCTCCGGGTGACGTCCAAACACGCTAATCCCTCGTGTCTTTTTTCATGTTTGTACACACACACAAAGTCCGTGAAGTCTGTGGAGGCGGACTGTGTGTTGATCTTGAATTGGCCGTTGTGCACGGCCTATTGTTCTACAATTTATGCTCCAGTGCACACCCCGGACTCCCGGAGTATTGAAACATATGAGGTTTCGGCAAAAAAATTGTAGAAATGACTCTTTGTGAATCAGTATTTGTGCCATTTGGCTGTATATCAGAAGTTGGCTGGACAATCTTGCCTATTGTGAAAATCGAAATTTTAGGCAAAAATAATCCTGGCTAAAAACAATAAAAACCAGTTGGAAGCTGTGGCAGAAAAGCAGAGCTCAGACGTCTGCATGCAAGTTGATTTCTTTCTTCTGTGCAGAAAACTGTATGCGATACATTTCAAGAGGTGCCCCCCCACCAAAATACTGATAATGCCCCTTTTCCTTCCCCAACCACAAAGGTTTTTTGTAAGTTGCATTTTTTCAGTTAGCCAAAGGCTTACCTTTTACAATTTCTTATGACAATGGATATAGTGAGGCATTATGAAGCCCAACTGGGAAAAAATGCAAAGGACGTTTGGGATATGTGCCCCCCATGATATTCTGATGCCCCTCCCTCCCTGTGCCCCCCCCCCCCACTACAAAATCCTAGCTACGCCACTGAGTGGTTACGGTGTTGGACTCACGTAAACGTACGACGGTGTGTGGGTTTGAACCCCGTCAGGAGCATGGTGTTTGTGCCCTTGGGCAAGACGCACAAACGCCACTTTATAAAGGAGGGTTGTGTGGACATTTATATCCTACTTTTAAACGCTCAAATTTCCGATTAACATAATTTTGTTTCCAACGCGTTTTGTAGCTCAATTGGGCGCATTCCAGCCCGTAATGTCCCTGTAAGCTACACATACAGATTGTGAAGCTCTCTTTTTGTACTGTGGGCAATGGTGGGTATAAATCATCTTTGTGAGCAATCTCAAACACGACCATTGAATGATCACAGTTACTGACATGCATGATTAAATTCCAATAAGTGATGCTATCAATCATGCACCATTAACTCTAACCGAACACAACCCATCAAAGTTCAACAGCAGGTTGGGATAGGTACAGTTCCTCTAAACAGATGGTCTTTTACACTGGGGTTGGCATACCTCCAGAAACTAAGTCCAACAGTGTGCGTGTACAATTTCCCATGTGGGTGTTGGAATTTGCCTGAATGGGTTATGGTTCCTAGTAAATTAGGCTGGGGACTTAGGGTTTTAATGCAAGTTTACTCATCTAAAATCATTGGCGTGTGAGTGCAATCCAATTTCCTATTGCTCCTAAGCACATAATTTTACCCAAGCAGCGGGAATGATAACCGGTAAAAGTACAGCAAACAAAAGGCTCAATTAAGATGCCAAAGTTTCTCCAAATAGAATGTAGTGTCTGGAGTCAAATCGAGTCAATTACCCGTTGGGGCTCGAGTCAGTCAAGTCGCCAAAAATTGTGACTCAAGTCGGGCTCGAGTTGAGTCATCGACTCGAGTCATCACAACTCAGCAATGCAATGGGACGTACATGTTCAATAAAATGGTCTCATCAGTGAAATAAAAAATGGTTGTCAAAGCAACTCTTTAAGCTGGCTATGGAATCTGAGCAGGAATTTAGGAGTGTCGTTTTGAGTGCATGAGAGTTGCTCTATATGGACACACATCACACCTGCAGTGGTTCATCATGTTCATACAATTGGCATGATTATGGTCCGACTAATGTTTGAAGATGTTCGAGTTTGGTGGCCATGGTATTCAAATGTGTACTATACATACTGGGGTTTAAAATCTACGACCTATTGACTGCCATTTCCTTGCTAGACTAACTGAGCTTTCCAGCCCTATGTTGGCAGTTCGCCAATTTGTTAATGTCTGTGTTCAAGGGGCGCTTGTCGGAAGCCATATAAACTTGTATACCATGTAGCCAGGGATCACGTCCAAATTTTGTCACGATGCTATCGGTAGCAACTTTAGCACTACTGCGTACCTGGGAAATTGGGGATCACTCTGAGAGGATACAGCTTTTTATTACAAATTTTCAAATACATGTAAACCACAAAGGGAAGTTTACTAGATGTACCGTACATGTATATAATTAGTTTCCCTTTGCGGTTAAAAATAAACCACAAAATCAGTTTTCCTTTGTGGTTAAGTTGAAAAACATCATCGAACACGTTGAACAGAGGCAACCGCAGACTCTGATATCCGAGAATCTTATTACATTGGGTACGCTTCAACAACATTTTTGATTAACCCTAACCTTTCCAAATCCTTCCAAATCCTCTTTGCAAAATTGTGCAGGATTGAGGCTATATGGCAAAATATGTCGCTGATTTTGGAGGATGCACTGTGTCAAGGTCTTGGGCCGGACCTTGTGTTGTTTATGCCCAGCCGTGCATGTATTTAGCCTTTACTTGAAATCCTCCACACTGCTCAAGGATGTCAATGGCTCTGCCTCAACACATGGACAGTGGTTGCTGGAGGATTTTGCAAGATTGAGGCGGTCACCCCTCTAAGGACCACAATCAAGAAGTAACAGATGATTTAACGGAGGATTGAGGCTACATGCAATTTTTACATAGAGGCAGTCGGAGGATTTTGCAGGATTGAGGTTGCAGCCTAGCAAAAATCCCTAGGGAGTTAGGGCTACAATGTGCAATGTAAGTAAACTTTGACGGTTTGTATGGTTGAAAGTCAACACCTTTGAAGGTTAAAGTTAATTGTAGACTTTCAAGTCAAATTGTGTCAATACAAGTCAACCTACAATTGTAATACAATACACGTACTGAGGTTTGCAACAGTAAGAAATTATCCAAGTTGTAGTACTAACCAGGTGCCTTGTATTCTGTAGGATAAGGGGGCGGTGGTTGCTCGCTGCCTGGTGGTGGCTGTACTGGATCACTCATGGTTACACCTGGCCTGGGTGGAAAAGTTATAAATGAAGTTACAGTAATGACATACATGTACAGGGTGAGTAAAAAAAACCCCAAACCCAAATGTCAGGACCATTGTTTTAGTGAAGTTCTAAATGTAGCACTTTCAAAATCTAGGATATGAAAGCCCAATTTACAATGTATAACCTTTCTTTTAGTACAAGAATCATTCAAATGGTACGTCCCACCATGTCATTGTATCCTGCGCATGATGGGACATATCTCCAATGAAATGCCTCCGGAGACTATGCGCCTATCAATTGTTCCTCCCTTGTTACATTCTCAGCTGCGCGCGCGTAAACACGCACGCCCCTTCCCTATGGAAAAACACATTAAACCAGAAGGGCGTAAATGTGGAAAAGTGGGATTTTCGTTTTCACGAAGGGACGGGCATCTTTACTAATTGATTTTAGCTAATTAACCACTGTGGTAATTCTAATTACTGGGTTCAAATTACAGTTTACCTATCAAAGAATTATGTGAAGGTTTCCTTATTGCATAAGTTGGTGCAAAGTACATGTAGTAGTTTTTGCAGTATAGGAGAATCTTCTCTTGCGATTATCTCGAAAACGTTTTTTTTCATGTTTTTCTTCAAAATCGACATGCCCGTCCCTTCGTGAAAATGGTGATGATGTGTGTCCTCAATTAACACCATAAACACGCACATACACGCATATTCACCATTTCTTCTTTATATTATAGCGGTGATAATTACTAAATTAGAGGGCAGTGTTTTTTATTGTTTGAGGGAAATTTTTGGCGAAGAAGACGACAAAATGCAACACGAAAATACAGACCACTGCAATGCAGTGAACACGCAAAACCATATTGATTCGCGTGGCAAAAAGTAAAAGTAACAGTAACACGGACTAAGGCCAGGGTAGCTCTACTGAGTGGAGCGTTGAACTACGGTACCCTCCATATACTAGCTCTCCACCGATTTGGCATACTTTTGTGACACGTACATGTACACGGTATGCATTTTGTGCATACCCTTGCGAGGACAAAAGCCCCCCAAAAACTGGTAAAGAGAATTCAAATGAGAAAGACAGTAACCGTGGATAGATTTTTTCCAGTTTTTGGGGGGCCTTTTGTCCTCGCGAGGGCATGCACAAAATGCATTCTGTGTATGTCACCAAAGTATGCCATTTGAATCAGTGCGAATGTCAGACAAGTCGACCGTTGAGACAACTCGACTCGGAACAAGTCAACCGTTGAGACAACTCGACCGTTGAGACACTCGACCGTTGAGACAATTCGACCGTTGAGACAACTCGACCGTTGAGACAACTCGACCGTTGAGACAACTTGACCGTTGAGACAACTCGACTCGGGACAACTCAACTGTTGAGACAACTCGACTCGAGACAACTCGACCGTTGAGCCAGCTCAACTTAATGGAAATGTATACACACTCGATGCACAGAGGGCGGTCCGATCCGGTGGCCGTCGCGTTGGTCTGGCGTGCCCCGCCCGCGAGGACCGGGCCCAGCCTGGCACGCGGGCACACGTCGATGCACAGTGAGCGCTTCGGTGGCCGTCGCATCGCGTCATTAAGAGTTAATGCATAGTTTGGGTCAAAAATATATTTTGTGTATACAAATTATGAAATAATATTAACGCAATGGTCGGTCTATTGTGCGTGTGAATGATACCGAATCCCGAACTGCATGCGCACCGTACCAGCGCTTCAAAAACGACGTCACCGTGCACAGCACGGCAACATCAACCGGCGCGGCAAGAGGGCGCACAGCGGCCCGGCACAAACGATGAAGTCCGGTCAATTTAAGTTAAGACCTAGAACAAATTTCAATAGAAACCATTCAAGCATCAAACGACTTTACATAAATACACAAACAACATGTGAAAAATTGTTTCTATGGAGTGGAAGGGTGTTTTTCAAGCATTTTTTCAGATAATTTTTTTTTGACATTTTGTCCTCGAAAAATTTGTCTGGTGACTTGATGCGATTTACATGTCTGTATATAAGGTAATGTTTAGGATTCATGACCACATGTAAGTGCAGCAGACGACTGTTTTAAATTGTAATTTTATACAGGGCACAACGGATGGAGTGGACGATTTTCCGCTGAAACGTTGCGCAGTAAGTCCACAGACAAAATACAATTAGTTGCAAAAAGGGCTGGGGATGTCTAAACATAATTTTGATCATACACAGATGGGAAACGGTTGGACAGTGCATGCATGGACCATTTTAAAAGTAAAGCAAAATTCTTTAATTAAATATTATTGATTGAGCGTCTGAAAATGATGTATTGGATTTTGTTAAGAAAATTCAGGAATTACTGGGCTCAGGTTGTGAAGTTTACAGTGCATTTTGTTAGTACATGAAAATATAAAACAAAACATCACAAAACACTTGGATCACAAGGAAAAAAAGGTTAATGGGCGAGGTTGATGAGAAACAGATGTAGTTCTGTACATAGTATGAGCTTTCCATGTTTTTCATAAGTACGGTACAGTAACTTTAAACAGCTAAAATCATGATTGAGGTTAGAAAATTGATTGAGACATCTGCTTGTATAGTCAAGAGTGAAATGAAATACTCCAGAAAAGCATACTTGAGTCCCGACTTTCGGGAAGCCAAAACATCTCAAATTTCTTGATTTATTATGTGGCAGTGTAAATTACAATATTATTTACAATAATTGGTGGACATAGAAAAGTCGTCTGCTGTGATCAGTCCTGTCTCGATATGTGATGTGAACGGATTTTCTGACCAGTAACGGGCGCGTTTTTACGTATGATGAAAAAATGGTAGCGAAAAAGTGAATAAAAACACTTTTCCACTCCTTTGAAGATTTTTAGTATGTTAAATAGTGATATTTCCTTAGTGTGATAGCATAAAAATAAATTGTATTGCAATTTGTTCTAGGTCAGGCCCTGTTTTGTTCTATGACCGGACTAATGTCACCGTGCACGGTACGGCCACGTTGACCGACCGGGGATGGGATAAGTGGGCGCACACAGGCTCGGCAAAAAACGATGCCATCGTGCACGGTACAGACTACAGCCACGTTGACGAGGAATAAGTGCACGCACAGGGCTGGCAAAAACGATGTCACCGTGCATGGTACAGACAAGTTGACCAGCAAGTGGGCACACAGGCCCAGCAAAAACGATGCCACCGTGTACGGTACGGCCACGTTGACCGGGGATAAGTGCGTGCACAGGCCCGGCAAAAACGAACGCTGTGCACAGACAATCACGCTGCGCTAAATCGGCTCTGTTATAACTTATATGCAACAAAAGGCAGATATCTAATGCCCAATGTACCTCTTAGTTCAAGGTATTTGAACCCCAGTTTTCAATTACATTTGTACATTTAGATTGAATGGGACAGCACCATCATTTTCCTAAACTAAAGGCTTAAGCAGCCTATCATCTCGCCCAGCGGCAACCCCTGCAGCCGTATCAAACCGGCCCGAACAAAAAAAACCTCATGTATCATAACAAATGGCAATCAGCCTCTGTCAAAATCCCCGGTAGCGGTACTATCCCAAAAACTAGGCCCAAAAACATGCGAGTCAACTTGTCTCAACGGTCGACTTGTCTGCAACGGTCATGACGGTCGACTTGTCTTTCCATCTATCGCACATACGATCGAGTTGTCTCAACGGTCGAGTTGTCTCAACGGTCGAGTTGTCTCAACGGTCGAGTTGTCTCAATGGTCGAGTTGTCTCAACGGTCGAGTTGTCTCAACGGTCGAGTTGTCTCAACGGTCGAGTTGTCTCAACGGTCGAGTTGTCTCAACGGTCGAGTTGTCTCAACGGTCGACTTGTCCCGAGTCGAGTTGTCTCAACGGTCGACTTGTCTGACCCCCCGTTCAACGCTCCACTCTGCTCAGTAGCTAGGCATGCTAGGCCTAGGCCCAAGTAGCCCCATTGTGGCCGTCGGTATGCTGCGCATACCGACGGCCACACTAGTGGGGCTAAGGCCCAAGTAGATTCGATGACGAACTCGGTCTCAGGCATCTACATCTACAGATCTAGGGCCTACATCTACGCAGCTACTCAGCAAAGTCTAGCTTGAGTAACTCCAGCTGACATGCTCCATATTCATTCACATGTTACATGTGATTGTGAATGAATATGGAGCATGTCAGCTGGAGTTACTCAAGCATGTCAAGCTAAGCAAAGTCCACTTGTGCACTTCTGGAGGGTCGACTTGTCGGGGCAGGGTTTGTAATACCGGAGATTCATAAAATGTGTTTTTCTCTTGTAAATCTGTTCCTTTTATATGCATGTAAGAATTTATAAGTGTATTAAAACTTACGTCAAAATTATCTCTCCAATTTTAGGGTGGGTCTCAGCTCCGTTGCGTTGACGTTGCTGCACGGATCTTTGGTGTGTACGGAGTAACCTGCAGTGTTATACAGGGTGACCGTAAGGTCAGAGCCAAATTCTGCTAAATGCACATAAAAAAATCTGTCAGATTTATCAAAAATCTGCCAAATTTCCAAGAATTACTCGAAATACACTATAAACACTTAAAATCACATGCAGAATCGATTGGTAGTATTACCTTAATTAAGATTCAAATTACATAATAAACAATCTAGTCACATAAAGATGTTGTGAAGCATGGGCGTCGCCAGGATTTTTTCTAGAGGGGGGCAAACAATTTTTTTTGCCAAAAAATGATTGTATTTCTCAACACATTCTCGATTTATCAGTTTTAGAGGGGGGCAGGGACATTTTGCCCCCCCCCCCAACTCATTAAATTTACATCACTTTTCTTTGCGCCTCTTTTTTTTTTTTTTTTTTTTTTTTTTCTTCCTTTTTTTCTTCCTTTTTTTCTTCCTTTGGGGGGGGGGGGGGGGGGGGCTTTTCCAGGGGGAGGGGCAAGTGCCCCCCTTGCCCCCCCCTCGCGACGCCCATGTTGTGAAGTTATTGGTAAATTTCGGGGAAAAACGCAGATCCGGCCACGATCGACGAAGTCCGTTTCCCAGTGAACCTCAGCACCAAGACCACCCGACAGCCAACTTGTCCCACTATGCAAGGGTTTGTTTGACATTGATTGAAGTTTTTTTTAAACAAATGTACACTTTTTTGTTCAAATTTGCTGTTCGTATTGTCAAACAACCATTTTTGCAGAATTCTGCCAGATATCTGCCAAAGAAATCCATTCTGTCAAATTTTCTGTCAAACTCAATTTTTAACAAAAATGCTGTCAAAGTTAGCCGAAAATCGGCTAAAACGGTCACCCTAGTGTTATAGCACAACCAGGGTAACCGTAAGGTCAGAGCCAAATTCTGCTAAATGCGCATCAAAAATCTGTCAGATTAATCAAAAATCTGCCAAATTCCCCAGAATTACTCGAAATACACTATAAAAGTATTTGTTTTCAAAAGATTTAAGCTTTTGTAATCAAATGTACCATTTTGTTTTTGCCAATTTGCTGTTTTGTCTGTCAAATAACTATTTTTTTTTGCTGCCTGAAATCTGCCAAAAAATCCATTCTGTTAAATTTTCTGTCATACTCGTTTAAAAAAAAAAAAAAATCTGTCAAAGTTAGCCGAAAATCGGCTAAAACGGTCACTACGTTTAACAAGGTTAACGAACTTTCTCCCTTCTCGGCATGCAAATCGTGTACATAGTTCCGGTACAGGCCTAGTCTGGTTCCCCGACCTGACAATTTCCCCCGACGTCTACATTAGTCTGGTTCCCCGACCTGACAATTGCCCCCGACGTCTACACGTCTAAGAATTGTAGGTCAGGCAGCCTCCGTGGCTAAAAATAAACATGACGACATTGACGGCCCTTTTTCAAAGCTCGACTTCGTTTCCGAATTCGCTTTATCACATAAAGCTTTTAATGTTCCGATAATTTTTTTTAAAAATAAATCACTTGCTTCATATATCATACAGTTATGATATACAGTTTAATACTTCTGTAAACAAACATTGACTAATTTTAACCTGGAATCTTCAAAGTTGGACACCCAAACAGCACTGTTAGCAGGCGGATCCGAATTGAGACCACGCCGCGTTTTGGAAAATGCCGGTAACGGTCGTCAAATTCAAACTAGTGCATGACGCAGCAAAAAGTTCGCCCCTCGTATATGATCCGAGTGCAAAATCGTCGTTGAATTTCAAGTTTTCTAAATAAAAGCAATGGATATTAATTATCAACTAGTTTTTTTAAGTTTTTAATAAGCAATTAGCAGTTAATAAAACCTATATTATACTCGGAAATACTCGGACACTATCCGATTGTCGACGAAATGAATTCGGCAAACTTCGGACAGTTTCGGAAAAAGGAGGAATTCCTCCCGTTTTAGTCACGTGATGTAAATTGTAATACATTGTATTACCGGAGGCTACCTGACCTAAGATTCATCAGGAATAGTCGGAATCTTTTGGTCTGGGAACCAGACTAAGTCTACATGTACAGGCCTAGTCTGGTTCCCAGACCAAAAGATTCCGACTATTCCTGATGAATCTTAGGCCGTGTCCGAAACGGGCTTCCAGAGCTACGGCTACGTCTATTGTCAGCGCGTCCCCGCGTATTTTTTAATGGGCGCGGACCTAGACCTAGCTCTAGACAGTTGATTCGGATGCAGCCTTAGGTCCGGTAGCCTCCGGTAATACAATGTATTACAATTTACGTCACGTGACTAAAACGGGAGGAATTCCTCCTTTTTTCGAAAATTTCCGAAGTTTGCCGACGTTGTTTCGTCGACAATCGGATAGCGCCCGAGTATTTCCAAGTATATAATATAGGTTTAATTAACTGCTAATTGCTTATTAATTTTATTTTTAATGAGTTGATAATTAATTATTTATTGTTTTCATTTACAAAACTTGAAATTCAACGACGATTTTGTGCATCAAATATACTCGGATCGTACGGGCGAACTTTTTGCTGCGTCATGTACAATTTTGAATTTGACGACCGTTACCGAGATTTTCCAAAACTCGGTCTTCATTCGGCTCCGCCTGCTAACAGTGCTATTTGGTTCCGTAATTTTGAAGATTCCAGATCAACATTACTCAATGTTATCTTACAAAACATCAAACTGTATTATCATAACTGTATGATATTACGAAGCAAGTGATTTATTTAAAGATTTGATCAGAACTTTAAAAGCTACAAGTGATAAAGCGAAATCGGAAACGAAGCCGCGCTTTGAGAAAGGGCCATTAATGTCGTCATGTTTATTTTTAGCCACGGAGGCTGCCTGACCTACAATTTAAGACGTGAGCGTCGGGAATAATTGTCAGGTCTGGGAACCAGACTAGTACAGGCCCCGGCGCCAGTTTCAATTTCTTTTTTTTAGTGCAAAGAAGGCTATTGCAAAATGGGAAAAAGCGATGTTTCAGACGCTTCTGACGAAGCCAAACAGCGACAAAACTTTTTGATGAATACTGAAGCGAACCGTCTGGCATCATTTCAGGATTGGCCCTTTGACGAGGACTGCAATTGCGTGCCGAGTAAGGTCGGTTATTTTTTGGCAGTGGATATTTTGCCGGAGACGGCAAACCTTTAGTAAACGTTAGTTTGCCGGATATGCACTGAACATGCGCAGTTACTGTTTTTTTGTACACATTTTAGTCTGGCTCCATGCCAATATTATCGTTGTATTTTTTGTATTTACAAGATGGGAATCAGACCATTTTATAATTTCGGACTTTATATGCCTTTAAAAAAAAATCTTCCAGAGCCACAAATCTGAAAAAGTAATACTCTGCAATAAAATGTTTGAGACATCTATAGGCCTATTAAAAAAAATAATAAAAGAAGAATATTCTTATTTATTTGGGGATGGGGAAAAAAAAGGCAGTGGATATTTTGCCGGGTACAACTATAGAATGCAGGGCCACTTTACTCTACATCCGCGCCTCCGTACGGCTGCGTGGAGGCGTGGAGCCGCAGTCGACCTACTAGTACCTCCGAAAATCGATCGTGGAGTCGTGGAGCCGCAGTCGATATCTCCGAGAATTGCGCCCTCTATCGGTGCGTGTCTCTGCGACTTCGCGACTCCGCGCCTCCGCCACTCCAGTGCCCCGCGTCTCCGCGACTCTGCGACTCCACGACTCCAGACAGTGCCCCGTCGCCCTCCTCCCTTCTTAATTTGCAACCATTTTATAATTTCGGACTTTATTTCCCTTTAAAAAAAATCCTCCAGAGCCACAAATCTGAAAAAGAAAAAGTAATACTCTGCAATAAAATGTTTGAGACATTCTTATGGCAGTGTATATTTTGCCGGAGACGGCAAACCTTTAGTAAACGTTAGTTTGCCGGATATGCACTGAACATGCACAGTTACTGTTTTTTTGTACTTAAACATTTTCCGGTGACAAGTTTTAGTCTGGCTCCATGCCAAAATTATCGTTGTTACCTCGTATTCACAAGATGGGATTCAGACCATTTTATAATTTCGGACTTTATTTCCCTTTTAAAAAAAATCCTCCAGAGCCACAAATCTGAAAAAGAAAATGTAATACTCTGCAAAAAATGTTTGAGACATGTTAAAATAATAAAAGAAGAATATTCTTATTTATTTGGGGATGAGAAAAAAAAAACTTAAAAATGTGGTGCGGTAGGAATCGAACGCGAGTCATCCCGCTTACTAGAGCCTTTGCTTAACCATTACACCAAACGTGCTACACAACTTTTGGTGGGAATTTAATACATCTAATAATTCAGCCCTATTTTAAAGAGTACAGCGCCCTCTGTTGATATGGATTGCCGCCGGCAAACCTTTAGTAAACGTTAGTTTGCCGGCGTTACCTCCGGCAAAATATACACTACCAAAAAAAACCCTTTGGAATTGAGGCGGGGATCAGGATTCGAACTCGGGACATCCCACTCACTAGAGCCATTGCTTAACCACTGCACCGGCTGTGCTACACAACTTTGGTGGGAATTTAATACATGTTATAATTCAGCGTTTTAGTAAACGTTAGTTTGCCGGCGTTACCTCCGGCAAAATATCCACTACCTTTTTTTTTTTTGTTGACATGGATGGTTGACAATGTAAATGACAATCACCATGATCACGACATTTTTCACGTTCATCATGTCAATTGTCATTTAAAAAAAGTATTTTTATACCGTGGCTATAAAATAAACGTTAAGTGTGGCACTAAATCCCATTTCCAGTTCGCCAATTTTCAAGCCTCATATCGTCTTTATTGTTTTCTTAAGAAAGTGGATATTTTGCCAGAGGTAATGACGGCAAACTAACGTTTACTAAAGGTTTGCCGGCGGCAATCCATATCAACAGAGGGCGCTGTACTCTTTAAGATAGGGCTGAATTATAAGATGTATTAAATTCCCACCAAAAGTTGTGAAGCACGTTTGGTGTAGTGGTTAAGCAAAAGCTCTAGCACCTCTAGTGAGCGGGATGACTCGGGTTCGATCCCGCCACATTTTAAAGTTTTTTTTTCCCATCCCCAAATAAATAAGAATATTCTTCTTTTATTATTTTAACATGTCTCAAACATTTTATTGCAGAGTATTACATTTTCTTTTTCAGATTTGTGGCTCTGGAGGATTTTTTTTAAAAGGGAAATAAAGTCCGAAATTATAAAATGGTCTGAATCCCATCTTGTGAATACGAGGTTACAACGATAATATTGGCATGGAGCCAGACTAAAATTTGTCACCGTAAAATGTTGAAGTACAAAAAAACAGTAACTGCGCATGTTCAGTGCATATCCGGCAAACTAACGTTTACTAAAGGTTTTCCGTCTCCGGCAAAATATCCACTGCCTTTTCGTAATCTTTACAAAGTACTACAACTTAACTACTTAGTTTGGCATGTTGTTCGGAACAAATTAAGGAACAACTCGCATCCATGTATCGAACGATTACGATCGATCACGAGTATACTGCCATCAGCACGGCTATAGAAATAGAGGGCGCACTTACTTGATCAGCACCATATGCGCCTTGAATAAATGGTTATTTCTGCTCCATCAAGTGTTACGATAACACATTTCAGTGTTATCTCCCAACTTCTTTTGAGTTTGAGTTGTTTTTTTTGGCAAATTAATTTTCTTATCATGCTTATCCTTCTTTTTTACCCCTCTCAATATTCCGTTTATGCAAGTACAACTAAATTACTTCACCATTTACCTGCTGCAATGCTTTAAAACAAATGTCTTTAAAGTGTAATCACTAAATGCCTGTCTAGGTTCATTGTCATTCATGTCCAATCATGCCCGGACACATGCTGGACGGACCATTGACTTCAGCTTGCCTGATACCATACCAGTCATTGACTGCAGATTCCCTGACCAACAATGTCGTTCGGAAGATTTGTAAAAACTGTTCCTATTTGTACTATTCTAAGGCTGCATAAAGTAAGTAAATAGTCAGTGGTGTTTATTTTTTCCCCAGATGGCAGCTGCAGGCTTCTACCACTGTCCAACGCAACAGGAACCAGACCTCGTTCGCTGCTTCATGTGCTCCAAGGAACTGGATGGATGGGAACCAACTGATGATCCACTGTGAGTAGAGTTTTTTTGTGGGCTTGTAGTGGACACCAACATAATATTAAAATGATCAGTTATCCCTTCTGGGATATGGTGAACACAAAGTAGGACACTGTTTGGTTTGGGCAAACGTTTTTGTATTTCACCCAATTTATCCAATCCAAAGAGTGCCCTCCTATTTTGTCGACCATATCTCTGGGTTCCTTACATTGGTGGAAGTTGTAGGCCTAAAGCTATAGTCCATCATTTGTAATTAGTGCATTTTGTTCGTTTGAAGCAACAAACGTGTTCAAAATCTAATGAAGGATACTGAACAACTTACTTGATGAAGTTTCAGCTCAGCTTCAGCTGTATATTCCGAGAAAAACAGCATTCTAAGATCTCAATTTCAAATCAAAAGTTACTGAATCATGTTTTGAATTGTTTTGAATTGCAGCTATACGCGACGTCGCGCACTGATCCGACGAATTATAACAACCGCGCGCGCGTGTGCGTCGTTCCAATACTTGTGCGCGCTGCGCTGAATAACAAAACGAACTACTAATTTAAATTTTCCTACGGTGCTTCTTAAGAATCACCGTTGGAAATGCCTTCTTTCGTTGATTACTTCAAAATGACAGCTTCCCAGAAAGAATAATTTCACAGGGAGTTTAGTCCCCTTACTATCTGGTTTCTTGTGTCACAGGGAGGAACATAAATCCCATGCTCCCAAGTGCGCCTTCATCACCAAGAAGAAAGATGAGAAAGACATGACGATGGCCGAGTTCTTCAAGCTGGAGTCGGTCCGACAGCACAACAGAGTTGTAAGTACACCGTGCTGTTAGGCCAAATAAAAAAAACAACATGTTTAGCGTCCTGCCTTTTTGAAAAATAAGGAAGCAGGAGGTCCCTTTTTTTTTTTTTCAAAAACAACCGGGCTATTTTCAAAGTGGCCGCCAGCTTTTTTTTAATGGCCGCCACTTGGACTCAGGAATATGGGCAGATGCAACAGAGATAGAGGCCAAAATGATGTCACTGTTTAAAATGTATAATTTTTTGGGTGTTCCCCCCCCCCCCCAAAAAAATAGGCCAATACAAGGAGCCCATCACCAAAGGCTCATGGGAAACGAGTAGCCGACAAACACATGCCAAGTGGTATTTTGAAGAAGAGCACAGCACTTTTTGTTTTAGTGTGACTTTTGCTTGACATTTTTCTGTGAATAATATAAGTTTTTTTCAGGCATGATATTTTTCAGATACTTTTGTCTGAAATCCGACTTTTTGAATCTGAGAGAAAGACATTATTAGTATAGAAAGATATGCATTTTTCAGACATTGTCAATTTTCAGACTTTTTTTTTCAATTGACAATCTCATCCCTATTATTTACAGTTTCTTACTAAGTACTGTTCTACAAATACAGAGAATGTGTTTTTGAGTTTCTGCGCACTACTGGATTTTGGAGGAGGTTAAAGTTTTCTGCATGTTAAAGGGAATATACAACATTTGCTTTTGCTGTAATTTCAGAAATGGATGGAATTGGGGGGTTGGAAATATATAGCAAATATAGTTACACTGACTTTTTTGAGGTTTTGGGTTCGAAAATGCTATAAAAACCAAGAAAAACAATCATTTTCCTGTAGTCTGGTTCCCTGACTCCATTTAAGAAGAAACTGAGCAGTTTACATACATTGGGGAATTGTAAGGTCAGGGAACCAGTCTAGCTGGCTTGTACCCGTTCATAGGTGTGTAATCGATTGCAAACAAGTGCGATGGTCAACTGGGGCCAGTATTTGAAAAAAAGCCAGTTTTTTCCAACGCTGGTCGGCTGATCAGCGTTGGAAATTGATACAAAAATACCACTTTTCTTGAAAATGACAGTATACCAGGTGCCATGATTTAACAGGATGCTTTACACTGTCATTCACTAACAGTCCAGCAAGGTATTTCAAAATGATTTGGTAGTTTTATTTTTTGATGTTTGCAAATGTTGTATTTTCCCTTTAACTTACTGTATCATATATTACAGATGACCCACGTTGAGAACCGCATCAAGGAGTTCACGTATGAGGCCGAGAAAACCAGACAACAGATAGAGGGTCTTAAAAACCAGTAATTCCATCACCTCTTGGTCAAGTTTGGCAAAGGTAGCCCCAAACTAGATTATTCTTAAAGTAGAAAGATTGCGGGTAACGTATGAGGCCGAGAAAACCAGACAACAGATAGAGGGTCTTAAAAACCAGTAATATTCCATCACCTCTTGGTCAAGTTTGGCAAAGGTAGCCCCAAACTAGATTATTCTTAAAGTAGAAAGATTGCGGGTAACGTATGAGGCCGAGAAAACCAGACAACAGATAGAGGGTCTTAAAAACCAGTAATTCCATCACCTCTTGGTCAAATTTGGCAAAGGTAGCCCCAAACTAGATTATTCTTAAAGTAGAAAGATTGCGGGTAACGTATGAGGCCGAGAAAACCAGACAACAGATAGAGGGTCTTAAAAACCAGTGATCCCATCACCTCTTGGTCAAGTTTGGCAAAGGTAGCCCCAAACTAGATTATTCTTAAAGTAGAAAGATTGCGGGTAACGTATGAGGCCGAGAAAACCAGACAACAGATAGAGGGTCTTAAAAACCAGTGATCCCATCACCTCTTGGTCAAATTTGGCAAAGGTAGCCCCAAACTAGATTATTCTTAAAGTAGAAAGATTGCGGGTAACGTATGAGGCCGAGAAAACCAGACAACAGATAGAGGGTCTTAAAAACCAGTGATCCCATCACCTCTTGGTCAAGTTTGGCAAAGGTAGCCCCAAACTAGATTATTCTTAAAGTAGAAAGATTGCGGGTAACGTATGAGGCCGAGAAAACCAGACAACAGATAGAGGGTCTTAAAAACCAGTGATCCCATCACCTCTTGGTCAAGTTTGGCAAAGGTAGCCCCAAACTAGATTATTCTTAAAGTAGAAAGATTGCGGGTAACGTATGAGGCCGAGAAAACCAGACAACAGATAGAGGGTCTTAAAAACCAGTAATTCCATCACCTCTTGGTCAAATTTGGCAAAGGTAGCCCCAAACTAGATTATTCTTAAAGTAGAAAGATTGCGGGTAACGTACAGTATGAGGCCGAGAAAACCAGACAACAGATAGAGGGTCTTAAAAACCAGTGATCCCATCACCTCTTGGTCAAGTTTGGCAAAGGTAGCCCCAAACTAGATTATTCTTAAAGTAGAAAGATTGCGGGTAACGTACAGTATGAGGCCGAGAAAACCAGACAACAGATAGAGGGTCTTAAAAACCAGTAATTCCATCACCTCTTGGTCAAATTTGGCAAAGGTAGCCCCAAACTAGATTATTCTTAAAGTAGAAAGATTGCGGGTAACGTATGAGGCCGAGAAAACCAGACAACAGATAGAGGGTCTTAAAAACCAGTAATTCCATCACCTCTTGGTCAAATTTGGCAAAGGTAGCCCCAAACTAGATTATTCTTAAAGTAGAAAGATTGCGGGTAACACAATGTGGAAAGTAATCTCTTCTTGGAAGAAGTGAGGTTCTGAAAAGAACTGGTTGGTTGCGTTCTTTTCAGAACCACACTTTTTCACATGGTGTTACCCACAATCTTTCTACTTTATCTCATCCGCCATGCAAAGCTTCATGTCATATACATATTATTCTTAATGTAGGATTTTACCATACACTCAGTAATGTTAAATTTGCGTTCTCCGTTCTCTTCATAAAGTTTCAACTTGTAATTTTATTCCAACCGAAAAATTCTGTTTTTCCTTTTTGGACATCTTGAACCCTCTGAAAAAAAAAAGGTCTTTGTTTTGGGCAAACAGATCTGTTTTGCAAGCAGACTGGCTCCCGTACATTATCGATACTGTTTGTGGGGCAGAAACCAGCCTGCCCAGCGAGAATGGAATTATTGTCTGGCAGCCAGTTATTTGAAATTTGTAAAGTAATAATTCAATAAATAGACACAGGCCGATTTTGTTGGTCGTTGTCTCATTTAAACAACTTTTGTATTGGCAAAAAAAAAAACAATTTTAGGGATGAACTTTGAAAAAAACACAAGGAACAAAACTGTAATTGAGTTTACTTTTATAATCATGCTTGACAGGTATCATACAGATTCAGCATTTTGGCTTGGTATGGTAAACATTTCAATGTATATATTATAATGTACATAGCAGTGTAGGATTGTGACTCACTAAAATTTAGAGCATATCAGTTTAACCCTGCATAAATATTTTTGGTTTGGTTAAAATAGGTGCTTTTTTAATACCAAAGCACGAACAGACGTTTGTGAGGAATGATGTGAAAGAAATGAGCAACATTATATTTATGGTATTCTTCCCTCCACTTAAAAGTTTCCATTGTAACATCTTTTAATATTTCCATCTTGTGGTTAAAAACTCTAACTTTCCTCAATTCTCCAAAGTCCTCCATGGCAATTTTGGAGGATTGTGGATTGAGGCTGAATGCATTTTGAGAGGCAGGGCTGGTGGAGGATTTTTAAGGATTGGGGCAGTGGGTATCCTTCATTTGAACACAAGTGCAAAATTGTGGAGGAATGAGGATGGTTCCTAGCCAAATCGGCCGGGGGGGGGGGGGGGGGGGGTTAACAGTCATTAACTATAATCTAGTAACCTTCCCTTGGAATAGTGATCCACTACAGCAAGTACCATCTGTAGGACACTCGATGACAGATGACAATACCTACTGCCCTTGCTGGCACAGGTTTCACCATACAGTGTATGTAGTTTTAGGATTATGCTGGATTTGAGCCAAGTGCTTGTTCACAAGAGTTGATGTGGTTATTAATAATAATAGCGGGTATTTATAAAGCACACGTATCCACCAGGACTGGTGCTCAAGGCGCTTCATTATTATTACCCCTGCTCAATGGGCCCATGAAACATTCCTAATACCATTCGCTCTTTTCACACTTCCGCCATGGGCATGCACAGCCTCGATCTGGCAACTTTACACAATAGATATAGCCGGTTCAGTGATTCCCGTGTCGGGGTTCAGATCACTGAACTGGCTATTTTTATTGTGTAAAGTTGCCAGATCGAGGCTCTGCATGCCCAATGGCGGAGCGTGAAAAGAGCAAATCTCAGCTCCCTGGGGAGTATACAGCTCGATGCTGCCTGTTAGGCGTAAGGAAGCTAATTCAATCACAATAACCATCTCTGCCCTCACAGGTACCTATTTACTCCTGGGTGGAGAGAAGCCATGAGTGACAAAGTGCCTTGCCCAAAGGCACACGCACCATGACCCCAGGCTGGACTCGAACCCACAACCTGCAGCTTTACCCGAAGACCACGAAATGGAAATGTGGTCCAATGGCTTTTTCTATTTGTGTACAATTTGGTTGACAAGGTTTTTTTGTGTTAAATTATGCCAGAAGACTAGGAGGAGGTACATAATTGTATTATTTTCAACATTTCTGGTACATTGTAGTTCAATTAAAAAGTAAATTTCCTTTAAAATTTCAAACATTGCCTGAGGATTGTTATTGTTTTATTAATTCCTGAAATACGTCTGGGTTTATTTGAAAGCGCAGAAATACACAGACAAAAATATACTGTTAAAGTAAGCACAGGACTTTTAATTCAGAAAAAAACAAATAATAGGCAATTTTTCTGAAATAAATCTTACTTTATTTACAGCAATGGACGGATAAGTTATGAAAGCTTCACTAAAAATCAAATTTACATTTTATCAGCAAAATACCAGAAAACATTATGTGGTATTTCCTCAGGATGCAATAAAATTCTAGAAGGCAAAGAATGATTTTCTGGAGGAGAAATATGCAGGGGGCTACATTTGAACATTCTGTAGATGTTCGGAAGCCAATCCTGTAAGAAACGAGGCATCAAATGATATAAAATCACAAATATTTGCATTTATCAAAAATAAGCACATGCCTTCCCAAAGTAATGCATAAATATATCAAACAGAATGTAAAATAAACCCCTTTCCTTGATGATCATATAGGACCATACCATCCTAAGTCGTGAGCAGATACTTCTATTTACAATTTTACATACATTAAGACTAACCATAGTTTTTACATACATGTATTGGTACACATGCATTTAGTACAAAGTCCCAGACAATTGTTAGCAAGCTAAACCGAACAGGCCAAAAATATACAGTACTGTGAATGAATTTTTGGCAGTAAATCAAATCCAAGTTTTGAGTTTAAAAATGACAGTATGAGAAGAAACAAGAAAACCATATTCTGATATTAGAATGACGAAACATGAAATAATCCTTCGTTGCCAGATGAAAACCCAGTAGTCCAAGTATATGTTCATTCCAATGTCATTACAAGTTTATCTGTTGGTAAAAGTTTGGATGCTCTCTTAGAACCAGTTAAGTCAATATACATTGATATGCTTAGGACCAATGCATCTAGAAAAAAAAAACCTCATTGACAGTGCCCTCTTTGAGTTCCGTTTTAAAAGTAAAAACTGCAGGAAACGTAACATTGAAGATCTCTTTTGTACAGGCTTCAATCTAACAGATCTACTTGGACAAAATGACCGGACGGCAAATTTGCTCGATTTAGCAGAGAACGAAGCAATCAAAGACTTTTTCTGATTAATGTACACAAGTGCTATCCAGTGCAATGGTATTTCCCCCAGGTAGCATTCCCACAGTTGCAATTCTCAAGTTTTAATTGCAAGAATCAACTTCTGCCCGAGCGAGCCTCCTCTATCTTCCGTCGTACCCCTGAGCAGTTCAGCGTCAGCTCGGCGTGTTGTCGCTTCAGCCGCTCCAGCTTGGCACGTAGCTGGTCCCCTTCGTCCTTCCGATCTTCGAAGTCCCTCAGCAGTGGGGTGTTGCCCAGCATGCCCGATTTCTGACGCAGCTTCTGGTTGTCGATGCGCAGGCTGTCGCGCGCCTTCTTGGTCCTGGAAAGGATGTCACGTTTCTGTCCGGAGGGAACAAGCATTCGGATGGAAACAGATTGAGCATTTGGGCATGACCTTGCAACACATCGAAGACCATAATACAGATTTATACTTCATGTGTATGCGAAGTGAACTTGACGTCACAAAACCCATGTTGAAATGTTGCCCTGTGTTTTTGCAACATTTCAACAGTGCAACATTTGCAGTGCAAAATCATTACAATTTTGTACTGTAGTATGAACTGGCACACAGAATGAAGACTCTTATCTAGAACAAGGGCAGTAGCATCCAATACAATTAAAGGTATACATGTAGTCCATCATTTGTAATTTGTGCATTTTGTTCGTTTGAAGCAACAATAGTGCTCAAATTCTAAAGAAGGGTGCTTAACAGCTAACCTGATGAAGTTTCAGCTCAGCTTCAGCTGTATATTTCGAGAAAAACAACATTCTAGGATCTTGATTTCAAATCAAAAGTTGCTGAATTATGTTTTGAGTTTGGCCTGATTCAGCGCCCGAGACACGTTCTCACTGAGCTGACTGCAGCTACGCGATGTCACACACCGATCCGACAAATTATAGCAGCCCCGCACGCGTGTGCGTCGTGCCAACGCTTGCGCACTTCGCCTATTGAAAAAAAAACGAACTACTAACGGAAATTTCCAACAGTGCTCCTTAAGACACACCGTTGGAAAGGCCTTCTTTCGTTGATTTCTTCAAAATGACAGCTTGCCAGAAAGGATAATTTCACAGGGAGTTTAGTCCCCTTACTATTTTTCAACCAAGTATGTTTTTCAACAATAAATACGCCAGTTATTTTTTGGATAGCTGCAAATGATGGACTCTGGTTTTAATAAAACCAAAAAAAAATATTGGGTTTTGCCCTTCACTATGTTCACTGATGAAATGTTATACGCACTGTTTACTCGGGATTTCCAAAAGCTTTTTGAGAAACACCCTCAAAAGCTCACTTAGTGGGGACTTGAACTTACTATTAAAAAGTGTCTAACTCAACCACCAAGCCGGCTGGGGTGAGCTGACTTGTACGAATCCAATATTTTAGCATACGTGCACAAAACTCGTGCATACAGTGTGGCATTGGAGAGGAGCACGTGTTAATTGCCCACGTTGGCAGTGGGCGGGGCCTGATGGATCGGTCTTCGGAATTCAAGCTCAATCCAAAATTGCCCCATTGTCCACCCCTATCTCAACCCACCTGAGCAACCAGCGACTCCACCTCCTTCAGTTTGCCCTTCTGCACTTGATTCTCTGCTTGAACAAACTGCAGTTTCTCTTTGACGTGGGTCAGTTCTTGCACCGTGCTGGTGATCTTCTTCCGCAGCTTCAACAGCTCCTGTTGATTGGAGAAACAAAACAAGTTATGGAGGTATCAAATCAAGCAGTCCACTTTGAAGCAACAAAAGTGGTCAAAATCTTAAGAAGGGTGCTTAACCCCTTAAGCACGGGTTATAATGGGGACATTCCTCCACACATAGAGCAAGTGGCCCGCATGACTGCACAGCCTTTGTGTGGTAGCGGGACTGCACAAAAGCAGCAGCTGTGGAACTACCCACTAGCCGTGTGCCACGGCATACCACAGCTGGCAACTGCATTCCAATGAGGATTAGCGGCCGCGGCCATGACCGCTTCCAGAGCGCATGGGTTAACAACTAATTTTATGAATTTTGAGATCTGTGACTGCTGAATATTCCGAGGAAATATTCAAGGATCTTGATTTTAATTCAAAAGTTGCTGAGTCATATTTTGAATTGCGTCCGAACTTAGCATCTGGCTCATTCAGCTGACGAATAATAGCAACGGCACGCACATGTGTGTCATGTCCACGCTTGTGCACATCCATTCATGGATTCGCCCAATTACAAACCAACTACTAAGAGAAATTTCCAAAAAAGTGTCACTTGACACGTCTTTGGAAATGACCGTTTCTTTGTTTTCTTCAGCATGCCAGAAGGAATAATTTCACAGGGAGTCCAGTATGATTAGTATCTTTAAGCCGAGTAAGATTTTTTACAGTATTTTGGTCGGTCACTTTTTGGATAGCTAATAATGGTTTACTCTACCCTTAAAGGGGTCCATTTTTATTTGTGGTCGGTTGGAATCATTTTAAATGTACATTAGTGGTAAAGCTGTGTTGAGTGTGTCAAGCTACTTTTTGAGCTTTGCAGCTTGCTGAAAATTCTGTTGAAGGGAATATACAACATTTGCAAACATCGAAAAATAAAACTACCAAGTTTTTACGAAATACCTTACTAGGATGTTGGTTAATGACAGTCTCAAGCATCTTGTAACATTATGGCACCTGGTGTGAAGTCATTTTCAAGAAAATGGTATTTTTGTATACATTTCCAACGGTGGTCGGCCGACCAGCGTTGGAAAAACCTAACTATTTTTCAATTACTGCTCCAAATTGACCATTTTTTCAGTCCAAATTTTGTTTGCTATTGGTTACATGTTCATGAACGGGTGCAGGCCAGCTAGACTGGTTCCATTGCCTTACAATTTTCCATCATCTATAAATTGATCCATTTTATCTTTTGTGGAGTCAGGGAACCAGATTACTTGAACATTTTTGTTTTTCTTGGTTTTTCCAACCTTTTCGAACACAAAACTTCAAAAATGTCAGTGTAACAATATTTGATCTATTATACTAACCCCTCAAATAGTTCATTTCTGAACTATTTGAGGTTCATTACAGCAAAAGCCAATGATGTACATTCCCTTTAAGTCAAATGGTGCTCTTGACATTTGACAGGCATCCACACAGTACAATCTGATAGTAGTTGAAACCTTTGCTAATGTTCAGCTATTGATAGGCACGAGAACAAAGTCAAACTGTGCTCTGATAGTGCGGAAGACAAAACAAAAATAGCGAGTGTCTTCAACACTTTGAGAACGGTAAATTACAGGGTTTATCTTCCCCCCAATAAGGTCACTATAATCTATCCTCTAAATTTAACAAAAAGGTCAAACTGATATCAGACCACTTTGTTCTGTTTCTCGAAAGTCTGAAATAACATGAATCCACGGCAGAAATTATGACTGTGCCGAGAGTGGCATGAAATTTAGGAATAAAAACAAAAGAAAGAGAAAGAAGAGGTTTAGGACTCGCCTCGTTCCTCTCTTCAATCTTCTCATTGTAAGTCTGGTTCTCGATCTTCAACTGCTCAAAGTCAATGAGATGCAGGCCCTCAGCCAGTTCCTCCTTGGCTTTCAGCTGCTGCTCTCTCTTACGCAGTCGATTCCTCAGCTTGATGTTCTCCAGGCGGACTTGCTTGACTTCTTCCTCTTTCTTGGCCTCGTTCAGGAGGTAGGCCTCGATGTCCTAGGGAAAGATATTAGCACAGAGAGCATAATAAACTTCGGTTCTGCTTAATGTTAAGGTGATATACAACATTTTCAAATACAATGTATAAATAAACGAAACTACCGAATTATCTTACTTGACTAAAGTGAATAACAGTCTCAAGCATCCCGTGAAATTATGGCACCCAGTGTGCTGTCATTTTCCAGAAAAGTGGAATTTACAAAATTTACAAAATTTAGTTTTGTCTGCATTGTGTCTGCAATCATTTAAATATCCGTGAACGGATACAAGCCAGCTAGTCTGGTTCCCTGACCTTACAATTCCCAGAGGACCATGAAGACCATAAGCAGTACAAGCACAGCAAAAAGCACGCTTACCTCAGAGAAAAAATTTGCTTGACGTAACAATGGAAATCTCCATGCGTGCGCAACCCTTAGCACATCCACGCTGTGAAACAGTGCTTAAAGTTAGCACAATTTTCTGCTATAGTAAGCACAACTTTTCTGCTAACTGCTAACTCGACTCTAACCAACTGGACCATTTACCAACTCGACTGCTGTACCAACTCGACCATTGAACCAATACGTGCGTTGACCAACCTAACTTCACTTTCGAGTCAACTGGACCATATGCCAACTGGACCGTTTGCCAACTGGACCACTCTTGTCAACTCGTTTAACCATGAAATTGGGCCCAGAACTCTAGCAGTATTTCTTTTATGGGGGGAGCTGTGCATGATCACAGGGTTTTAATGTTGACTAACCTTTGGTGTGATGGATTTACCGGTGCGGCTATTGATGGCGTTCTCAGCCGACTGTCGCTTGAGCTGGCTGAATTGGTCAGACTCCTCCTCAACAGCATCTAGCCTCTCCTGTCTGCGTTCCTTCAGTTCCTCCAGCTGCTCGCTGAGATTTTCACGCTCTTCCTCCTCTTGCTTCCTCAGCTCCTCCAGATTTGCTGCCGGATACAAGACAAGCTTTTAATGTATTGCAACAGAACACCAACTACAATTTTCATACTGAATCTTCAACTGTATGTTGTACCACTACAGAGCTTTTTTAGTCACTGATGCTTTGCATATTGGAGGTTCTTGATTTCTGTTTGGTCCACTGACTGAATGCACTTTGCGGTAAAGAAAAGTTGTAGTTGGTCTATGGATTCTCATTGGGAATAATAAAAGTGTCTGCATGGCAAGGATTTGGGCAGATGAGTGATAACTGGATGATTGGGACAAGTCATTGTCCCAATGACAAGTAATTTCCGGCCCATTGCACATGAGGAAATTGAGATTTTATTTTAACTTGCAGTGCAATAAACTCTTGATCTGTTGATGGGTTTTGAAGTTGATTAGACTAGCCCAACCATTGTCGACTATGTGTGTTTGACTGCAGTTATCAGAAATCTTGTTTGCAAGAAACTTTCCTGAATCTTCCAAAATTAACTACTGTGGAAGAACTAAATGACTTATTCTTTGTATTTTAAGTTTCAAGGCAGGGAGAAATCCAGCTTTGGCTCAAGAGGGGCTTAAGTAGCTGTCAATGGGGCAGGGGGTTAGCAGATATGTGCTACTATCTCCTCATGATTTTCCTGTTTTTGCAGGAAGGGGGGGGGGGAGGGTTGGACCCCCTAAACCAACCCCCTCCCATAGATCAGCCACTGCAAGAGGCACTATCAACTATGTGAGATAGCAGTGAGCTCACCCCAGTCAGGCATGCAACTGGGAATTTTGAAAAAAAAACGAGGAAATTCCAAAACACACAAGACTTTGTACAGTGTTTTTCAATTTGTAATGGCATTCATGAGAAGTAAAAACCGAGGAAAATCAGCGGATCCGAGGAAAAGTTGCATCCCTGCCCAGTCTTGCAGTCAAGTCCATCACCAGTCATCACAAGTCCTTCATATATAAGTCAATCACAAGTCTTCAAGTCCAAAGTCAAGTTGCATGATATTAAGAAAATGAACTGTGATAACATTCCTGTGTTTATTGTTCATCTCCTGTTTCCTGTGAATGTACTTGTAATTCACTTGTGAATGGACTTGTGATGGACTTGTGATGGACGCTTGTTCAACTTAAACTATAAATCCTTTGAAATCCTTCCAGACCTCATAGTAGAATTTCGAAGGACAACCTATACCACTGTGATCAGCTACTCACACATGTATTTGAGGTAGCGCTGTTCCTGATCAGTCACGTTCTTGTCCATCTCCTGCCGTTGGTCGTCTGTCTTCTTCTTCCTGAAGTACTCGGCCAGTTTGTGCTGTAGCTGGATGTTCTGGTTGTGCAGCTGCTCGCGTTCGGCCTGGGCCGCCTGGGAAAAGGGAGAACAAAACCAATGTCCAAATGATTCAAATGTGTACTTTTCTTGCAGAAGATTTGAAGTATAGTCACGAGAAGCGGCACTTGAAATTTTTGGTGGGAGAGCCAAATGAAAGAGCAAGCAATCCGGTATATGCCAGAATTCCCATCCCTGGTAATTCTACAACTGAAACATGTGAGGACTTAAATTTGAAACCTTTGAGACTATTGAGAAGTACAAAGAATAAGTTTGCTGTTAAAGCTATAGTCCATCATTTGTAATTTGTGCATTTTGTTCGTTTGAAGCAACAAAAGAGTTCAAAATCTATTAAAGGATACTAAGCAACTAACCTGATAAAGTTTCAGCTAAGCCTCAGCTGTACATTCCGAGAAAAACCAGCATTCTAAGATCTCAATTTCAAATCAAAAGTTACTGAATCATGTTTTGAATTGCAGCTATACGCGACGTCGCGCACTGATCCGACGAATTATAACAACCGCGCGCGCGTGTGCGTCGTTCCAATACTTGTGCGCGCTGCGCTGAATAACAAAACGAACTACTAATTTAAATTTTCCTACGGTGCTTCTTAAGAATCACCGTTGGAAATGCCTTCTTTCGTTGATTACTTCAAAATGACAGCTTCCCAGAAAGAATAATTTCACAGGGAGTTTAGTTCCCTTACTATCTTTCAACTAAGTATGTTTTTCAACAATAATTACGCCAGTTACTTTTCGGATGGCTGCAAATGATGGACTATAGCTTTAACAAAACAGGTGTGCCAAGAAAGCTCTCGCAATTATGAATATTGGATCTAAAAGAGTTGAACTATTTTATGTTGAGGAAAAAAATATCTGGGAGGCAAAATAAATGGACGTCAAGAATTAGGGCTGTCCAGAATATACCGAATACATGTATACTGAATATTCAAATTAATTTATTTGAATATTCGAATATTAGATCATCAACCGAATATTCGAATAGCTTTGTGTGGTTCGTTGTCCTATTCCTGTTAGCAGGTTAAAACCCAATTATAAAATGCCTACTGTAAAAACACTCCAGCCGTCGCTAATATTGACCGCCGCGCACAAATTTAACCGGCGCGCTTTGCGTGCAATATTTGACCGGCATGGCACGCAGTTGCAGATGGCACGTGTAAAACTTCATCAGAGAGTTTTGAATAATTGAATATTCAGTGAAACGCAGTTCCAAATAATCGAATACTAAAGTATTCGAAAATGGGCAGCCCTAGCAAGAATTTGGACATGGACACACCTCCCTACATTCCAAATGGTATGTGCCAGACAATCACTAAAACATGTAGGGTAAAGGTGCTTTACTTGAGTTGGGGGGGGGGATTTACCTGATAAGCCTCAACTAACTCCTCTCTTGTTATCCAGGGTTCATCATCTTCGTCAAATTCTTCCTCTTCTTGGGGAGACTCTAAAAGAGAAATTCAAAATAGGTAATACCACAGACAGTTCTAGAGCAACATATTGTTTGATAACCATACGTGGAATGTAAGAAATGTTTATTTCTGTCAATGTTTTTGGAATGTTTGTTATTTTTGCCTTTCAATTGAATCTATTTGATAAAGTGCACCTTTGTTTCAAGCAGTAACTAATAGTTCCTGAAACAGTAAAATGCTTCTTAATTGCCAAACGAAAAGTTTTTGTGTATTGATCATTATGAAACGTTTTTGTGTTGTAAAACAAATCGGAAGCAAAAGTGAATGTTAATCATAACCTTCTGTCACACTAATTTTCAGTATAACAGGATTACCTGCGGTGTCTGCAGTGCTGTTGAAAATGTTCAGGCAAAAAGGTATCAGCCTTGGAGGGGGCATGTTAACTGTTTGCGTACAGTGAGCTGATACATGTATAGCCAGAAGTGGCACCGCTGGAGATCGTTAGATTGATATATTGCCTAGACATTAATTGTGCATTGTTCTAATTTCAAATTTTAAGACTTGAGAAGCTGATGTCTAGGCAATATATCAATCTATCTTTGTTGTATATTTTCTTATCTAATCCTCACCTAGCCTTTCGGGTGTGCCCGCCTCCAGCTGATCCGGCTCCAGCTGGGGACTCCCCTCCCTGGACAATGGTTCGATCACAGCCACCACAGGAGTCTCAGGCCTCTCCCCCTCTGCGAACGTATCACTCTGCGGGAGAGGGGAGGCCGGTTTGTCCTCTTGCTCCTCTTCGCCTGGAGGGGCTGGGGCCTCGCCTGTCTCCTCTGCTCCTTCTTCTTTCTGCTCTGCTGCCTCGTCAGTGACAGCTGCTTCCCCCTCATCTTCCCCTTCTGGTTTCTCCTGGTCTTCTTCTCCTTCTGCTGCAGTTGTCTCCCCTGAACATAACAGTCAACTCTACAATTTATTGTTCTATAACTAACAACTAAAAATGTCCATTGAAAGTAAAATAAAAGCAAAGTTCAGTGCTATTCCTGGGTGGAGAAGGAATTTGTGATGTGTCTCGCTCAAGGCAACAAACACTGCACTCCCGCAAGAGGCTCCCCTCAAAACCCATAATCTACAGAATACCCACAGATACTGAAGTCTTCGCTTGAGACCACATCAAGGCCAAGTCACTCCACTATAAGCATACTAAACATGTTTTCCCCCCATTCATTGATGTATCTTTGACAAATCAGCTATACTGGTTTTCTGCAACACTTAGGAGGTAATTTTCAAATGCTGGCTTGTCTCTGGCTTTGATTTCATCTCTGATATCAGAATCATTGAGAAGCCTTTACTGATCCAACCACCTGGAAAACTGAGGATAAACCTTATGGGCTCCGTGCACAAGTACATGTGCCCCCTCATCGGTAAGAAAGGGAGAGTTGGGGGAGACCACTTTGAGAGACATTCGAACGCATTGCCGACACTGCCCGATACTCACGTGAAGACGCCATGGCTTTGTGAGCATTCTGAATAAATGATTAGTCGTACGTACTTCGTGCTACACGCGAGCGAACCAGTGTCCCGTCCATGGGGCTCTCGAATGTTAATAAGCGCCCTCTCTTGTTCGCGCACGGAGCCCATAGGAAGAACCTCATATAGGATTTGATGATCTTGAAGCCGAGGACATTTCCACATTGAGCCGGAATCCCCCAGGTCAGGGGCATAAATTCTCCTAAACCCAAAGCCAGAGATAAAGCCACTTTCAAATCCTCTCTTACCCTCAGTTGCTTCACCAGCATCCCCTGCATCTTCGCCAGCCTCTCCTTCCCCTTCGCCTTCCTTCTCGGCATCGTCGCCTCCTTCTCCTTCCTCCTGTCCCTCTGCTGCCTCTCCCCCCTCTGTCACCTCTCCTTCCCCCTCGGGCTTCTCAGCTTCAGAGTCGGGTGCTGCTTCGCCCCCCTCTGTGGGGGCACTTGGCTCCTCCCCCTCCTCTGGTGGAGCTGCAGCCTCCTCCTCTGGGGCTGCTGCTGTGTCTTGGCTTTCAGGAGGGGCTTCTATCGGAGCTGCATCTTCAGCTGCAGGCGCTACAGCTTCTGAAATGGTAAAGAAGATTGTGCAAAAAAGCTGAGAAATCACCAAAAGAGTAAGGTATGAAAATCCAAGACAGTTGATAATTGACCCTGGCATTTTGTGCAGGTGAGATGTAAATACAAATACTTTATTTCCAAAACGCGACATATATCCATTTGTAAAAGGTGAACACTTTGCACGGTTATGAAACTTTAAAGAATAAAAACAGTGTACCAGCTGTTTCCAAACTTCATTTTTCGTAATATAAGTTGTGTTTAAGAAAATAACAGCCGTCGAAATTGCCTTTGGGCAGCTAGAAGAAGCAGAATTCTATCTTGCGTTTTGGAAATAAACTCTTCATATGAAAATACTCTGCTTGGCCTGATGCGATGCATGTTGCAAGCTCAGCAAACTCAACATGCGTGTCATAATGTCTAGATGTTCTTTTAATGAGGAAGATATATAGACAAACAGAAGAACATCGTAGGATTAGAGTGAGTTAAGTTCTAGGAAAAATTATGTTACAATACATATTATCCAAAAATTATTGTTATGATTTGGTTAGAAGATGCAAAAACCCTCTATAGAATGAAAAAGTCAAGAAATAGGAATTGGAATGTACTTTTCTTTGACATACCTGTAGCCTCCTCACCAGCTGCTTGCTCCTCTTCTGTCTTGCCATCTGCTTCAGTAACGCCCTCCTCACCAGCGGGTGGAGCAGTCTCTGTCTCTTGAACTTCTGGTGCTGGAGTCTATTTGAATAAAAACAAAAGTAATGCAATTATTGTTGCAATTCAGTCGAAACATCAACATCCAATTATTATTAAAAAAAGGTTGAGTTCAACTAATGAGACATTCTCCCACCACTGTGTCCATTTTCATCATGACAATACTGCTTTAATAGTTCACTGCTTTTAGGGGGGGGGGGCATCATTTTCATTGATGATAGAACTTAAATAGTGCTCCTTCCGTGTTTAGATTTATACTTTTATTAATTTCTATTAAAACATATGCAGTGGCTACAGTTACAGCAGTCATAATGCATTTTTCAAATGCTATTGTTAACCCTCTGGTTCCCTGACCTAATAATAGTATGGCTGTTGGAACCAGACTATCACTCAACCGAATGGTTCTCAGACTTCATTTCCCTTTTCAAAAAAGATTTTCCAAAGCCAAGGATTATGAAGTAGAAAATGAAATCTACTTAAATAAAAGAAACAATTGATTAAAAACCATTAACCAAATATTCATAAATACCTCAGACAGTTTAGCTATTCCTATTGGTCGAGAGCCCGTCACGTGGCCGGTCTTAAATGGATGATAAAGACATGGCTAGCTGGTCTTAAACACTTTTCCAGTGTCACAATAAAATGTGGACTCCTAAAAATCCAGTGCCTCTTACCGTTTCATTGGTTGAACGTTCACAATCCTCACGTAGGCATGCGCAACACTACAAGCGAGTCAGAATTTTATAGTTCTAAATTCAAAACGCAACGCCCCAGGTGCGTTCTGCGTGACATCGCGCAGAACATGTTACGCGCGCGTCAATCTCCATAAAAGGGTTGTTTACATCTTACTCGCCAGCTGAACACTCCATTATTTTGCTAGAGGGATGTTTCAAAAAGCATGAAGTGAACTTGTTGAACAAAATCGGGATTTTTTGAACGAATTATTTGATATTTTTTTACGGATAAGTTATTTATGAATGGGAATAAATATGTGCTCCGCCGGTATTTATCACTCTGTTTAATACCGCTTAGAGTCTGGGTGCTGATAATTACCCTCGCCTCCGGCTCGGGTAATTATCAGCACCCAGACTCTGAGCGGTATTAAACGAGTGATAAAAACCTCCGGAGCACACATTTATTCCCTTAATAAAGTGCGCAGCGTGGCTTTCGATTCCAGAACCTTCGGCATAAGTAGGCTAGTACTGTAGTGTAGGCCTAGTTGAACGTTATATCCAATTGAGCTACCGAAGCACTCAGGTTGGATGGGCAGTATTAAATGTGATATATTCGCACTGGTGATTTTGCAATACCGCAACGATAGCAATTGAAAATCGCGTTACGGCTGCCGTAACAATAACCACTACGTAAAACATATTTTCCACGATTGTATGGAAAGAAAGGGGGAAGAGTCAAGCTAGACTTTTATTGTATTAAAAATGAAAATGCCCCTACATTATGTCTACGGTCCGCTTTTTGGGCGAAACTATTATGCGCCTATCAATTGTTTTAAAAAATAAAACGGCACACCGTGTAAAGTGAATGGCGCCCCAATGCACCAATCAGTAGACTTGACTCAGTGATTTTTGTTCTCCTTTCTGGGGATGGGGGGGGGGGGGGGACATTGGATTACAGTCAACTTGACTCAAACCAACTCGACCATCGTACCAACTCAACCGTTGAACCAACTCGTCCGTTGACCAACTCGACTTCACTTTCGAGTCAACTTGACCATTTGCCAACTGGACCGTTTGCCAACTGGACCGTTTGCCAACTGGACCGTTTGTCAACTCGTGTAAATAAAACAAATCTTGAAACGCGGTGTCGTATAATTACTTAAATTCGCGCTTGAAGTTGTGGTTTGCTATGAAAGTTAGCTGTTCTGCGATATGCCGAACATCTTCGTAAGGAACAGATGTTCTAATTAACCCAGGGCTTCAAAACGTTTGGTGACTTTTGTGAATTGCTTGTTCCCCAACTTTCATCGACCCACAAACTTTACGTTGATGTCCATACCTTTGTGGAACCGAGACATGTAATATTTGAGATGAATGTCCCTTACACCAATGATGCAATTAATTAATTTGTAGCCAATCAGGTCTGTTTGAAAACCAGCGCTTCAATCCAAGAAATGAAGGGAATGAAACGAGGAGGAAAGGGCATTTTCGATATGCCCATGGAGGTTGCGAGGGTTGCTTCCCCCCACCCCCCGGATAACCAAACAAAGAAAAAGGAGAAAAAAACAAAAGGAATTTGGACAACAGTCGAGTTGACTTTTCCAGTTGAACGCACAACGGTCGAGTTTGACAATGGACGAGTTGGTAAATCAAATGGTCGAGTTGACTTGTACAGTTGATGGCACAACTGTCGAGTTGGTTCAACGGTCACCACGGTCGAGTTGGTAAATGGTCGAGTTGGTCCGAGTTGAGTAGGCAAATGGTGGAGTTGACCTGACAGTGACACATTTGGACATTTGACAGGCGCATTAATAGGCCTAACATGAATTTAAAATTAAAGGCAACAAACATTGACAAACACTACTCCTAGAACTATGAGGCTCCGCGTGAGCGGAGCCTCATAGATCAAGAATCCAAAAATTGCCTGCAGCACAAAACACTAATAAAGTACAAAAACGTCCATCAAAATGCAGCCACTTCACACAGAACCGCTGCACAGTTTGCCCCTATACTCCGTACTTTATCTCTTGACATACTCACGTATCTTGTGCGGAACTAACATGGATGGATTCTGTCGGTTTTTAGGCCAAAATGATGAAAAATATGCCCTTTCCGCACTGAGCCAACCTGACACTTGAAACGTGCACGCATATGATCGAGCGATGATTTTCGGTTCGCTCGGATCGCGCCGCGGGGGGTACGGTACATGCACTTGTACGCACGCATGCACATACTATCATTTCGCTTGTACCGTACCCCCCGCGGCGCGCTCCGAGCGAACCGAAAATCATCGCTCGATCATATGCGTGCACGTTTCAAGTGTCAGGTTGGCTCAGTGCGGAAAGGGCATATTTTTCATCATTTTGGCCTAAAAACCGACAGAATCCACCCATGTTAGTTCCGCACAAGATACGTGAGTATGTCAAGAGATAAAGTACGGAGTATAGGGGCAAACTGTGCAGCGGTTCTGTGTGAAATGGCTGCATTTTGATGGACGTTTTTGTACTTTATTAGTGTTTTGTGCTGCAGGCAATTTTGCGGGCTTCTTGATCTATGAGGCTCCGCTCACGCGGAGCCTCATAGTTCTAGGAGTAGACAAACACGACAAACAAACATCACAATTACTAATACTAGGTCTACAAAACAAAATCATTTGAAATAGCTAAAATAAAATGTGCATTTAAAAATAAATCATTGTAAATTGTACCTATGTAAAAATGTTTGTTTTTCTCGGGGGGGGGGGGGAGGTTTGGCCCCTGTCTCCCCCGCCAAACCCTGCCCCTCCCCGACATGATTTTGCCGCTGCCGCGCCGCACGCTTGTCGTGCTTGCAAGTTGCATAGCTTTTCGCACATGTCGCACGCGTCACCCGCCCGGCCCGCGTTGATTGAATTTCAGTATGAAAATTGATGCAGCAAAGACAACCTAGTGCTCCAAAATGGTGGATTAAACTCTTATAAATGTGTGTCTTTTCTGGAATAAGATAGTTACATGAGTTGAAATGATCCATGGTCAAGCAACAACTAACGTAACGTTTAAACCTCAAATTTATTTACCTCTTCGTCCGCCATGTTGTAAATAGCTTTTTCGTCTCCTGGGTGTTGTGCAGTCTGGTGTCCAGTCTTCGCCTCCTGGTTTCTCTAAACATGTAGATTATGATCAAGGTACCTATCTTTTTTAACCTCGTGAAGAAGGTTATGCGCAAACGCACGTGCATATCAATACGAGCTCCTGGGAAAGAGGTCAAACCCGCGAAAATTTGAGCGCAAAATTGACAGGATTGTTTGTGACTTAAGCTGTGTGTGCCGGCAAAAGTTAAAATTTTTCCCCCAAGAAAACAGCTGAATCGATTTAATTTTTGACACGATGATGGCAAGGATGAACTCAGTTGATAACTCTTCATTGGCAAAACCGGGCCAGATTCAGGTGAGTTTTTTTCTTTGGTATTGGTAATCGAGCGGCGCGGGCAACACTAACCAGCATGACCAGGTCGCTGCCTGGCGCGGGCAAATCATGCGGGTTTCACCGGCCGAGTTGAGCACTGCGGTGCCCTCCGTAGTACCGCAGTCTGAGTGGACTAAAGTTAGGTAATACAATTAACGTTAAATTAAGAGACAATCGTGAAAAGTGTGAGGACAACTTATCTCTACAGTTTTATTTTATCCAATAAAAATAGTTATGCTATCCAATTAGTTTGGAGAGCCCCTCGACAGAAACTTGTTTCTTTTGCAGTTTTGGGTAATCCTGCGGGAGCTTTTTGGGTGTTGTTTTCTAATTATGTTTTCTGTTATGTTTACTATACTCAGTGTTATTTGTACATATAATTGTTTTGTCTGTAGTTCACTGTTTGTAATATCCCGGAAAATGAAATAAATAAATAAATAAATTTAATTTCATTTTCAGGTTATCTTTGGTCCGATGTTCTCAGGAAAAACGTGAGTAAACATTTGTTGTGACTTGTTCAACAACCAGGACAACAATAACATGTTTAAAACAACAATACCTGCTGGAGGAGAAGTACATGTATATTGCACATTTTGTAATAGCAGCTGTTGGAATAAAATATAATCATTCACATGCGAAGTTAATTTAAGCTATCCCACATGATCATGATGATTAACTTTCAATATTTCATCAAAATTTTCAAATTGTTTGTTATAACCTTAGAGGAATAGCTTATATTACTTCATGTACTTAGGCCTATACCAGTTGACCATTTTGACTTGTCTTGGCTAAACAAAAAATAGTATTGTTACGGCCTGACAGAAGTTGACGTCTGGTTCCCTGAACCAAAAGAATTCAACGTCAGGATCTTTGGCTCACCAGACCAGCAACCCTTTAAAAAAATCCTCCAAGGCAAAATAAAAAAACAAACATGTTTAGCGTCCTGCCTTTTTAAAAAAAACTAAGGGGAGGGCCTTAAAAAAAAATTAATTTACTGGACCGGAACACATTTAACAAGACCAATGCAATAACAGACACAGAAAAGAGATATTTGTTTGGCATTTTCATGTCTACGCACACAACAACCTGGTATCCACCATAATACGTACAATGAAGAATTATGTGTATCAGCGATCAGCTTGCATTACAATCATTCAACAAATTGTACAAGTTGTACAATTGTACAAATACTTTGTAAAAAGATGTAAATAAATTTCGAGTAAGTTCAGGAAAAAAGCACTAGACTGCCAGGCTAGTAGTAGTACTGTTTCAGTGCTGCAAGACCGGCACCGAATTCACTGGCCTCGGTCCACCTGTCCAGTGGGAATTTCAAACCCTGACAAAATATGTCCCTAATAAGATAAAAAAAAACATTTCCTGAACCCTTTAATTTATTTCACCTGATGATGAATTGTGATACTATTCATTTTCATCTCACAGGACTGAACTACTACGTCGCATCAAACGTTTTGAAATTGCCAACTATTCCTGTCTAGTCATCAAATATGCAAAAGACGACCGATATGACAAGGAGGGCGTGGCCACACATGACAGGTAAAAATAGCTTTTGCTACAAGTTTACAAATAATTGAACCCCCCCCCCCAAACAAAATAAAGCTCTTCTTTCATTTTGTTGTACCCCGCAAAATAAAAAATTACTGTTAGTTGGATTGTCCAACTTTTCCTTTTCCTTTACTCAATAAAATTTTTTGAATTTCCGAAAAACCCATTGTGCACGGAGTGTTCTCATTTTGGACATCCTTTTTTTTCTGGAGTGTGGGGCCCATCTACTTATCAAAACTGTTTTCTGTTTCATTTTCGATTTCAATTACAGACAAGTGACCAAAGCAGTATCGACAGAGAGACTGTATGATCTGATTGACAGGACAGAAGACCAGGATGTCATTGGCATTGATGAGGGACAATTTGTAAGCAACTTGTTAAATATGATTTTCAAATCAACTTGTTTTACTTCTTTTCGGGTTGAGGGTTTGAATTAAATTAAACTAATTTAATTTTTAAAAAGGCAGTCTACATGACTTGCGCATGTAAAACATTTCCAAAACTGAAATTAAAAGATTAAAAACATTCCTTCTTAGAAAAAAATAATGAACAGCTGTTAAAGTGGTTGAAAGTATTTCAACACTGTATCTTGGAAATGGCAGTTTGGTTTCTCAGGACTGGGCCCTCGGCCTTGCTGATCTTTTGAGAACTAGCAGGAGACTTTGAAGGATGTTACAGGGATTTGGAGGGTAAAACCGAGCCACTGTACCCTGTGCCAATGTGCTTCACTCTAGTTTTTGACTCATGATCGCACTGTTGTGCTCTAAACTTCAGTACAGGTTCAAATTGGGCACAAGTAAAATGTAATAATTTTCTGGGTATCAAAATAAGGTTCTATAGACGTCAGACGACAGCTGTAACTTGATTGAGCTTGTTGACTAGTCTTGTTGACATGATGATCGATTATCCATGCTCTGTGGAGAGGCCAGCTAGACTCACACTAATGACTTTATCACAAAACGTGGTTCTTGTCTGAGGGGCTGGTGTTTGGCTAGGATTTTTCAGGGTCAAGGGTCAATAGTTCAAGCTACTCAATGTGTTATTTGGCTATATTTGAATGAGGAACTTGTGGAATATGAAATTGTTTGACACAAAATTTTTGGAGTAATTAACAAATTAAGAAAAGTGGACTAACTTCGAGCACGATCTCACAGCGGAGTTAAAGGGAAAATACAACATTTGCAAACATCAAAAAATAAAACTACCAAATCATTCTGAAATACCTTGCTGGACTGTTAGTGAATGACAGTGTAAAGCATCCTGTAAAATCATGGCACCTGGTATACTGTCATTTTCAAGAAAAGTGGTATACATTGTATTTGTATCAATTTCCAACGCTGGTCGGCCGGCCAGCGTTGGAAAAAAACTGGCTTTTTTTCAAATACTGGCCCCAATTGACCATCGCACTTGTTTGCTATCGATTACACACCTATGAACGGGTACAAGCCAGCTAGACTGGTTCCCTGACCTTACAATTCCCCAATGTATGTAAACTGCTCTGTTTCTTCTTATATGGAGTCGGGGAACCAGACTACAGGAAAATGATTGTTTTTCTTGGTTTATATAGCATTTTCGAACCCAAAACCTCAAAAAAGTCAGTGTAACTATATTTGCTATACATTTCCAACCCCCCAATTCCATCCATTTCTGAAAATTACAGCAAAAGCAAATGATGTATATTCCCTTTAAAGAACAAAACTGTGCCCACATTGAAATTACTGGGCTCGCACAGAGTCCAGTGGATATTTTATGATTCTAGTGGAGTGGTGACACCATTTGCACCGCTTTTCTTTTTCCCCAGTTCCCCGACTGCGTACAGTTTGCCGAGGAAATGGCCAACCAAGGCAAGATAGTGGTTGTGGCTGCATTAGATGGGACATTCCAGAGGAAGGTGGGCTCACTTCACTTGCTCAATTATTGTACAAGCGTCATATTTTATCATTTCTTGACAGCCCTGAAAAGATATAAATTCTGAAAAACTGACAATTTGTCGCAGTTGATGGAAAGTTTGTTTGTTAGCAGGTTGTCTTTCTAAATCATTATTATTTGGTTTCTAGTAAAGAAACCAAGGATTCCTTAAAAGTGCCCAAGGCACTGTAGCTCGAAAGCCTGAAGAAACCTGTAGAGAGGAGACGATGAGAAGAAATTGCAGTTTTAAAGGTGGGAGGAAAATCCCAGAAGAATGTTCTGGGGAAACCCACGGAATCAGGCAGGGACTGACATCTCAGTCCGTGTGTTGGCCCGGGCGGGATTCGAACCCGGGTCACACAAGGAAAGTACCGCTACGCCAACTATTTTTATATGAACTGAAGACTTGAAAGTTAAAGTTGTGAAATTTGTACAACACGGGACAAAAATGGGAACTGTAAATGATGACCAATCTTTTTTCTTCCAGGGTTTTGGTGACATTTTAAACCTGGTCCCGATAGCGGAAAACGTGATCAAGTTGAATGCAGTCTGCATGGTGTGTTATCAGGAAGCATCTTACACTAAACGGATGGGTGCCGAAACACAGGTCAGTGTCTCATGTCATGATGTGGTTGGTCTCTCCTAGTGAAAAGGGCACTGTTTTGAAATCTTCAAGAGAAAACGAATCGATAGCAGAAATCACAACCGTTACAAGTTGCACCCCCTCAACAATTTGTAGGAATGGAAAACAAAATAGGCCAAACTTTTTCCAGAAAACTCACCCATTTGCACCCTCCCCTGACCCAGTATCTTGAGATGCTGCTAGTTCACACACTGACACAAACTGTGTAAGAGATGAATCTCGGCAAGTGGTCACTGTACACTTACGTGGCCCCCTTCAATGGAGAAACCATTGTGCAGGCTGTTGTGCAAAGTAACTGTGCTGTGCCTGATTATCTTAACAATAGCTAGCACAATGCTTGCGCCATTGAAGGGGGCCTTCGTGGTAGAATTTTAACAGGGGTGTGAAATTTCAGCTTTAAAGCTGATTTCGCTGTGTACAAAAGTACAGGAGATTTCCAAAGTTCAGCTTTTTTACACTTTTTTTCCCAGCTGTTTTCAGCTATTTTTATCAGTGGGGTATATGATAAATACAGACCCCTTCAAAGTGTCCATGGCGCCAGAGTTTTAATAAGTCAGTCACAAGTCAAATCACAAGTCAGATCACGCAAGTCAAGTCACAAGGAACAGGAGATGAACAATGACAAAGGGATTCCTTTGTCACTCTTCATCTGAATCAACAGCGACAACTTGGGATTATTTGTGAAAAGTTGTGATAGCTTTATAACAACTCTCCATAGCACTACTGTAGCGTGTAGCTTGAAGAAAACTGACGAGAGACAATAAGCTTTATTCACGAGTCGGCAATATTAAATTGAAAGCGAGGTAAATTATTCAATTTTGGAATTGCGAATAGAAATGAAAGCAATGACAGAAAGTTAATTTCAAATTAATACCAGTCTGCTCCGATGAAGAATTTATAATTTGTGATGAAACATACCATTATGTTTTAAGCCATATTTAAAAACAAAAATTTGAAGCGAGGCTTGGAACCCATAAATAGTCTGGCACCATCCCATTCAGCAGTTTACAATTTATAAAATACATACAAAGAACATGATCAAAATGGCTACCTCATGAATATGGTCTACAGTGAGTAAGTTTGTAGCCCAACAGTATCAGGTAGGGATCGGCGTCGGCAAAATGAAAAAAAAAAATTTCAATAAAAGATGTCTCAAAACTGCCAACCTCACTGGTTTGACTGGAATCCTGCTGCTGCACAATTTTAACGCGTTTTTAGATGGTGTTATGATCGAGAAAAAGCTTTATGTGGCCTCTCTGGACTCCAATATATTTGCACTAAGTTTAGTCAGGCACCATTTGCAGTCATCAGCCGACATTTGAAGCAAAAAAAAAGGTAAAAAAAAAAAGCAGCATCGCCGCACCACTTTTTAGGCAAGCTCCATACCAGAAACCGGAGATTTTTTTTTTGGCCTAAAATGCCTGTAAAATTTCCGATTTACATGTATATGGTTTGTGCAATGGCCCTACAGGTCGAAGTCATCGGGGGAGCAGACAAATACATGGCTGTGTGCCGTGAGTGCTTCAACAAACCAGCACACTCGTCCCTGCTTCCAGAAGAGAACGGCAACTCTATCCAGACCCCGACCTGTGAGGGCGCTGTCTCCACCTCCAAAGCCCACGGGCGAAAACTGTTTCAAAGTCCGAAAAAAATTGCTGTCGCTCAGCAAAGCTAACTTATATTTTTTTTCTAAAATAGAGAATAATATGTACTTATTACTGAATTTTAATTGAATTGAAGGCTGCATGGAAGCATTGAGGACAAACTGGTGCTAGGCACTAGATTTTATAATCCTTTAAAAAAAAAAAATTCTAAACATTTCTTCAGGTTGGTGAAAATATTTGTAAACCTTTCCGAGCAATGTTCAATACTGTCAAGTAAATGCCAAGAAAAAAAAACACCTCTACTTTTGAGATTTGTATGTAATTGGCGGTTAACAAATTTCAATGCATTTTTAACAGATCAGTAAAAGATCCAAATGAAGATTTATAACTGTAATATCAAAATACCTTTTTTTTTAATTATGCAATGCCTTTTTGTGGTTTTTTTTTTTTTATAATCAATGTCTACCTCTGGCAGTCCTGTGCAGGGTGTTTACATGAATGTTCCATTTTCTGCTGCTAAATGTACTTCGTAAAGGCATGGGGACTATCATAACTAGGGCAGAATTACCGTTTGGCATATTCTCAGGGTTAATTGCATGCGTGCATTTGTAATATTCGTGTCCAGGCTCATTCAAACTTGTACGAAGTAAACATGAATTTCTGACGTTACGTAACATCGCACTGTGAAATTGCTAAAGTTCAACACGTTTGAACTCGTGGCAAATTAGGTGATGAATGTTTACGATGTCAAATTCACTTTGCATTTGCGTGAAGTATGAAGCGGCCTTAACAGTTCACTCCTGCTTAAGCACGGACAATATTAGCTTAGTAAAATGGCTAACTGCCAAAAACGTCAAGTGATGTATATTATTGCTCTAAGCTTTTTTTTTTTTTTTTTGGTTTGGTTTTATTTACATACATCTCGTGACCTGATGGCCAAATTACATGTATGCTACAAAGCTGATTACTCTTAGCCAATAATGTTACTAAGCAGTCTCTAATTGGAGCTTAGCCTAACCGTGAAATTAGGCCCAATTGTCATATGAATGTGTGGGACTCTATGGCCTATCAATGCCGGAAAAGATGCATGCTGTGTTGAATGGATCACGTTTGTATGAAGTATGAAATGCCTTCATCTATTAACTAAGATCTTCACATCCCATTACATGTAACTCAATCTCAGTGATTCAAATCTTATTCATCAAATGATCTGATGTTTTTTTCAAATTCAGAAGTCAATGTTGAATTTTTTTCGACACCTGAACAGATTTCCTCAGGACAGGCTGTTCTCTTTCAAATTCACCTACTTTTGAAAATTTTTAAGTTTGACTGCGAATAAATTTTTATGTATTTTTAAGAAAATTTTTAAGTTTGACTCCGAATGAATTTTTATGTAATTTTTTTTTTCAAATCCTTTCTTTTCCTCATTTTGAATTTTAATGTGTTTTGTTGCTGTAGTTATCTGTTGTAAGTTCAAGTTGTACATACGCATAGTTTGGGTAGATCTCGATATTATACATGTATTGTGATAAGTTTTTACTATATTAGTTTTGGTGTACAAAAACAAATAAAGTAATTGTAATCTTTGATAACTTGGCACTACCCAGAGTGATTTTTTTCCCCATCCAACACTTTTCTTTCGGTCCACTCTTTCAGCATATTGTGTCATGGGTAAATCAACAATACAGTCGAGTCTCGTTATAATACAAACTCGTTCCGACCCAGCCAAATTGTTTGTTATATCAGAATTTTGTATTAGGAACATCAGTCCCATTCATTGTGCACATAAATGCACAGTCAGGACTAAGGCCAAAAAAAAAGTCTCCGGTTTCTGGTATGGAGCTTGCCCCAAAAGTGGTGCGGCGACGCGGCTGTTTTTTTTTTTTTTTTTGGCTTCAAATGTCGGCTGATGACTGCAAATGGTGCCCGACTAAACTTAGTGCAAATATATGGGAGTCCAGAGAGGCCACATAAATCTTATTCTCGATCATAACCCCTTCTAAAAACACGTTAAAATTGTGCAGCAGCAGAATTCCAGTCAAACCAGTGAGTTTGGCGGTTTTGAAACATCATCTTGTATTGAAAAAAAAACTTTTTCATTTTGCCGACGCGCATGGCTACGGCGACGCGCGCGCATACCAGAAACCGGAGACTTTTTTTTTTTGGCCTAAGGCTTTATGTTTGTTATAACCAGAATTTTGTATTAACAGAGTTTGTACTACATGTGTAATGAGATTCGACTGTACATGTACCTGTACACAATGTACATGTAGTTCAGTTAACAGTTCTCTGAGATTTAGATGGAAAACAAAAGCTATTAGGAAATTTAAAGAATTCTGAGACTGGTGTATTTATTTATACACTTGAGCAAGCCAATATACACGTATACTGAAAAACTATTCGCATTAATAAGTTAGACCTTTTGTATAAAAATGTGAGAATTCATATACACAGAAAGTTGATAAATACATTTCAAAAAGGCAGTGAATGCACACAGTTCAAAAAGCAAACTCAATGAAAGACTATACATATGCTATACTCAAAAAATTTAAAAGTTTTGCATTAATTCAAGAAACTTAGAGAGATATATGTAAAATGATAAATATTTTACGATTGCAATACAGAAAGACACCCTTTCAAGTCAATGGAATGTACACTATATTGGTGCAATATTCAAAGCACCTGCAATTTTCTAGCCGCATCCCCCCACCCCCAAATTATTTTTTTCATCCGTTCTGTTCATGCTAGTCCTGAAAATAAAATAAATCAGCATCAGAATCAGATTTTAAACATGAAAATGTGAAGAAGTTCCACTGCAATAGACCTAAATGAGCCCTTTTCTAAACTCAAACTTAACAGCACAAATTCTGTGGCCACAAATTTTGATTAACATTTGTTCTGTCCATTACACAAGATCCAATACAGGTGACATGCAATATACTGACCCAGTTTTAATGGTCGAAAGGGAATTTCCAATGAAAAATGTGTCATTTCATTTGGTAATTTTTAACACCCTGTTACGGATACCCTGTGTTTAGGCGCACAAAAACCCCCCAAAAAGTCGGTCTCTGGTCAGACCAAAGTTCCGGAATTGATGCCGTGATGTTTTGTTTTTTGGTTTTTAAGCTTGGATTGTACAGTCAAGGTGGGTACTATTTTGCTTTTTGGTGCCCTTCCCTATTCCTTGGTGCTCCTTGATACGAACGTTTGAGGCAGTGCGACAATAGAGGGTGCTGTCGTAGCTACCGCAGAAAATTTGAAAAAAAAATTGAACGCTCATGATCAAAACCGACACGCATGCTGACCAGAGACCGCCTTTTATATGAAATTTGAACATTGTTAAACATTTTTTTTTAATTTAAAAAGCACATAATATGTCACCCTGTTGTCTTACCCTGGCATTTTTGGCTGAGGTATTGCGGAAATTTGACTTTGGTGTTTCAAAAATCATTTGTCAGATGGAACAGATCCGATTTGTACAGCTTCATCGTATGATGGAGGTGGTGCGTCGCTGCTCTCTGGTGCATACGGGTATCTGAAAATGAAAAAATAATAATTCAGAAACAAAGTAAGAAGTTTGATAAAAGATTATGATTTGTTAAGATGGAATTGAATGGGATCAAAATGGCTCCGAGATGAACGTGAAAACACTCAGCAGAGGTCATTGGTGCTTGCTTTTCATGACCCATGGCAACATTTGCCATAATTACATTTTATGTAACAATTTCTGGAATCAACAGAACTCAAAATTAATAGAATGTTTCAAGAGGGGATGACACGCCATCCTCCCCCCCCCCCCCCCCCCCCCCACCCAGCTACGCCACTGACCCTGGCAGTCTTGAATCTTCAAATTTTATGATGATTTTTCACGCACCCTAGACTCAATAGAGGGTTAGAGTTAATGAATAATTTTGATGTAGTATATTTCAGTACACATACATATGATCTGTTGGCTGGACAGATGGTTGCACCTGAAAGAACCGGGGCTGAGCAGCTTGAGGCTGAGGCACGGTGGGAAAACCATCGTGTCTAGCATTGGTCTGTAGCCCAGTTGGGTATCCCACTTGTCCTGCGTTGGTCTGTAGCCCAGTTGGGTAACCCACTTGTCCTGCGTTGGTCTGTAGCCCAGTTGGGTAACCCACTTGTCCTGCGTTGGTTTGTAGCCCAGATGAGTAACCCATTTGTCCAGGATGTCCTGTGTTGATCTGTAGCCCAGTGGGGTGAGCCTCTTGTTCTGCTTTGGTCTGTGGCCCACTTGGGTAACCCATTTGTCCTGCGTTGGTCTGTAGCCCAGTGGGGGGAGGTACTTGTCCTACGTTGGTCTGCGGTCCACTTGGGTAACCCATTTGCCCGCCTGCAGCTCCATAGGCCTGTTGAGGCAAAACAGCCGCCCCGCTTTGGCCTGTCGCCCACACTGTACCTCCTGCTTGCTGTCCCACTTGAACCCGGGAACCCATGTTGATGGCTGTTACGTTATCATTCTCCCCACCTGGAGACGTTCCAAGCTCCAATTGGTTACGCATCTGACAAGCTCTGACAATTCTGAAAATCCCAATGAAAATCATCGAACAGCCGATCACGGGGCAAACGGCCCAAGCAATGACGTTCAATCCGCCGGAGCTGCTAAACCAGAGGAAGCTCACCCCTGTTACCATGCCAAAAATGATGACTATGATGCCCGACCACAATTGGGCCCGCAGTCTAGGTGGCATGGGTGGTCTTGCATCACTACCACTGCCTCTGGTAGACCATGGTAGACCAAACTGTTGGGTACGATGGTGATGGTGATTATGCCGGCGGCGGTGGCGACGAGCCGGCCGACCCCTGCGCTGTCCAACCCCCATGATGACCAATACAAACTGGAGATACAATGCCAACGCTCTGCACACTCTCAGTTTTACTTCTCACGAGCAGATGTCAGTTCAGCATGTTCAAAGTTCAATTGTTGGCCAGCCCTTGTTATCTAATTTTAACTCAAGTGAAGTATTTGGCCATGTTTCCTTCCGCGTGCTTCTGCATGTGATGAGTTCTGCAAAGATGAAAAGATAGTCGTTTTCCATTTTGAATCAGTTGATAAATCACTGAGACTATGATGAATTTACAGGTGTCTGTTAAATTCTGATGAAAACACATACAGACATTTAAGGCCTTAATTAACCCATAAATCTGGCTCAGATACTGGACTTCAAGTATCAGTAACGCAGCCGTGTGGGCCTACACAATTTTTTTTTTGGGGGGGGGGGGGGAGCGGATCTTGAGGAAATTGAAATCGGGACTATTTTTGAGTTGCTATTCACTATGCAAGATTCCTACTCTGGTTATTTAATACCAGGAAAAAAACAAATGGTCAAATGATGTGTACATGACCTGTGGCTGTGACCCAGAATTTCACTGCCATAATGTCAGCACACCAGGAGCCACGATTTTACATTATGCTTTAGACTGTCATTCCTAACATTCCAGTAAGGTATTTCGTGATAATTTGATCATTTCGTTTTTTGATGTTTGCAAATGTTGTATAGGCCTTTGAAAATTGAAGTAGGTCCTAGATTATAGTAGTAGGCCCTAGGCCTAGATGCAAAATGTTGTTGGGTGATTGTTTTTATAAACGGCCATGATGGCTCTTCAATCATTATCATGTCTAGCTCTACTGAGTGGAGCGTTGAATTACGGGTACCCCTCCATACAAACGCTCCACCCATTCGCCACACTTTGGTAGCACCATCACAGTAGCATAGTCACAAACCCACGCGAGGACAAAAAGACCCCAAAAAACTGGTAAAGAGATTACAAATGAGAGAGACAGTTATCCTGGATTGATCTATACATTCTTGACATTCCATGAGACCCCTTATATTGTTCCCAAACAGCGAACATTTTGGAAAAAAACAGCAAAATAGTCTGAAAACTTACAGTTCAATGTGTTTGCATGGAGGCTCAGTTCTTGAATTAGCTTGTCAATGAGGGCGTCTGACGTGACGTCACCGTCGTTGCTCGATCGCGAAGAAAAACACGTAGCTTTATCTACGACTGTTTTGTGTGATAATACGTGCTCCTTGGGTGTGTTCAAAGCCCATACTGTCGTACAGCGCGGCGCAGATCGGAGCACGTATTATTACACGAAACAGTCGTTGATAAAGCGCGACTTGTTTTTCGTTGCTGGACAATCATTCCAGCAGCTGGACAACTCATCCAACTAGGCAGTACCACGTGACCGGTCAGCCTTGCGGCATGCATGCACGACGAATACACGGTGCCAGCGCCGCGGAACATTTAATCCAACAAGATCTATCAAGCATGAAGCATCCGGCGCAACTCCAGTCCTAACTATAGTTGGGCCGACCCAACTGCCGCACTATAGTTGGGACAGTCCCAACTATAGTTGGGACCGATGCGATAGTTGGGGCGTGACAGCCACGCCCCAACTATCGCATCGGTCCCAACTATAGTTGGGCCTGTCCCAACTATAGTTGGGCCTGTCCCAACTGTAGTTCCACAGTTGGGCTGGCCCAACTATAGTTGGGCCTGTCCCAACTATAGTTAGGACGGTCCCAACTGTAAGTTCCACTGTTGGGCTGGCCCATCTATAGTTGGGCCACTCCGATCTTTTTATTTTGCGGTGTCCCAACTATAGTTTATATTGATGTACAACTGTAAAACGTTCCCTACAGCTCTGATACACGTCCGACTTTACTGGGGACCACTGAAATTAGCTATTGATGGGGCGAATCTATAGTTGGGCCACTCCAATCTTTTTATTTTGCGGTCCCAACTATAGTGTACATTGTTGTACGATTATAAAACATTCCCTACAACTCTAATACACATCTGACTTTACTTGGGACCAATGAAATTATCTATGGGTGGGGACCATCTGTAGTTGGGCCACCGCAATATTTTTATTTGGCGGTCCCAACTATAGTTTACGTTGATTTACGACGACTATAAAACATTCCCTACAGCTCTGTTACATACTGTCCGACTTCACTTGGGACCTTTGACATTAGCTATGGGTGGGGCCCATCTATAGTTGGCCGGCCATGGCAATCTTTGAATTTTGCAAAATGTTGCTGGACAATCATTCCAGCAGCTGGACAACTCATCCAACTAGGCAGTACCACGTGACCGGTCAGCCTTGCGGCATGCATGCACGACGAATACACGGTGCCAGCGCCGCGGAACATTTAATCCAACAAGATCTATCAAGCATGAAGCATCCGGCGCAACTCCAGTCCTAACTATAGTTGGGCCGACCCAACTGCCGCACTATAGTTGGGACAGTCCCAACTATAGTTGGGACCGATGCGATAGTTGGGGCGTGACAGCCCCACTAGTGTGGCCGTCGGTATATGCTGCGCTGAACCTCTTGGCCACACACCGTGGTACCGCGCGCTACTGAGGACGAAGTTTCATAAAATCTGCGGGCCGTTTCTTACATTCTCAGTTTCTTACTTTATTATGGTTGTATTCTATGATGTTTGACCTATCACTTCTGGGATGCTTAGGTCTAATGATGTTCCATTTTCCGAGATATTCTTCAATCTTTCTGGAGCCCATATGTACTCGTGAAACGTCTGGTGATGGCAGCCATTTTGAATGGCACAAGAGATGACCTCAAACTGTGACGTCGCGTTTATGCAAATTGCTTGTCGAGCGCGCGAGGGCGCGAGTTGCAAATGCGGCAGCTGTTTCCTGTACCATGCATTTATCGTCAGGGGGCCACGTGCACCGATCTCTATTTAGGATCTACGGTACAGGAAACAGCCGTCGCATTTGCAACTCGCGCCCTCGCGCGCTCGACAAGCAATTTGCATAAACGCGACGTCACAGCTTGAGGTCATCTCTTGTCCCATTCAAAATGGCTGCCATCACCAGACGTTTCACGAGTGCATATGGGCTCCAGAAAGATTGAAGAATATCTCGGAAAATGGAACATCATAAGACCTAAGCATCCCAGAAGTGATAGGTCAAACATCATAGAATACAACCATAAGAAAGTAAGAAACTGAGAATGTAAGAAACGGCCCGCAGATTTTATGAAACTTCGTCCTCAGTAGCGCGCGGTACCACGGTGTGTGGCCAAGAGGTTCAGCGCAGCATACCGACGGCCACACTAGTGGGGCTAGTGGCGTAGTGCTACCAAAGTATGGCGAATGGGTGGAGCGTTGGTATGGAGGGGTACCCGTAATTCAACGCTCCACTCAGTAGAGCTATATCATGTCAATCACTCAGCTCAGCGTCAATCATGTCAATGCCTGCCTGGAATAACTATAGTATAGTTTCCATCTTTTTTGTAATAAAGAAATTGCAAAAATGCGTAACCACGTCTGACGCCACCGGGGCTCATTAGTACGGAGGAAGTGATAAGCTTGATTAACTTACTAAATGTGTTACATAATGCTCTTTCTTCCGTTTTCACACGACATCTCTAGTCTGTTAAGATTTTGTTGCAGCGTCACGTTGTTCATAGAAACGGCTTAGTCTGGATCCCAGACCTGACGAATAAAAAGATGGATCGTTGTTAGGTCAGGGGGACAAGACTTACGAAACGATTCTCATTCCAGGAACTAGAGAGGGCGCTGTGTTCTTGCAATCCTGACCGCAGGGTGCAACATTAACAGTGCAATAAAATTCCCATAGACACTAGTGCTAAATGCCCATACTTCAGAATTCCTTTACAAAAATACTCAGAGAACTCTCTTCTTCTTTTTTAAACGTCACAAAAAAGGCAGGCACTGCTGTCAAAAACATTGGTCAAACCTTTTCTCAAAACCTTTCTGAGCATCTAGAATCAAAACTTTTTTCGGGGCCCTCTTACTTACTTACTTAGTTAGGTTGATGGGAATAGAATAGGCTAAGCCTTTGTGACCCCATATCCAATTTCTTTCCAGTAGGCATCAAGATGGTTCTTAAACAGGTTTGTTGAGGTTGCATTCACCACATGTGATGGGAGGTTGTTCCATTCAGAAATAACTCGGATGGAAAAGAAGTTTTTTTCTGCAGTTCAACCCTTTCTTTAATCCTGGTTTGTAGAGCTTTAGGTTGTGACCTCTGACTTGGAATGGGTTGTCGTGTCTCTGGAAGAGCTTGCTCTCCTCAATGCCTTCCAAGCCGTTTAGGATCTTATAAACCTCGATCAGGTCACCTCGTTGTCTTCTTGCTTCCAAACTGTACAGGTCCAACTCCAATAATCTCTCTGTATAAGTTTTGTTTTTCAAGCTTGGAATGATCTTGGTTGCCCTACGCTGTACCTTCACATCTTTCTTGAGACTTGGGCTCCATGCTTGGATACAATATTCAAGGTGTGGACGAATGTATGTCTTGTAGAGGGTGGTGAAGCATTTTTTGTCGTAGTGTGTGAATGTCCTCTTGATTATTCTCAGATTGGCCATTGCCTTACTTGCTGCTGTTGCCCTCATAAGCAATGAACACGCCGTAATTTTTGGACCCACTTTTTGGGGGACATTTTGTTTTTTTGCCCCCCCCCCAAAAAAAAATTTGTGTTCTGGATCTGCCCTTGGATCCGCCCATATGGTTGATTCCCCTTGCTCCAACCTCTTTTCCAGGGTGTCGAACAGTGCGCGCCTACCACTATACCTGCTCTTGAAAACGAGGTCCGAAAAAAGCAAGCACTGGGGACGAGGTTGCCCTTGCTCGCACACATCATATTAAATGGTCCCTATTTCAAAGAACATACTAGAGAAATTTGCCCCATTTAGCTTGTACATAATGCACTAGCTGACAATGCATGGCGATATCGACTACAAACGACCAATAAAGCGGACGATAATCTCTCGATCATGTGAGGCCCCATGTTTACAAATCAGGATATTTCTCTCATGATGTCCGGCTTGCCGACAGGAATGTAGCATATATATGGATTACCATGCCGAATGAAGTAACAAAGTCGATAGACAGCTAAAGAAAATGCAAATCTCAGAACGGAACAGTGTATATCTCGTCTATATCTTTATGAGAAATGTGACAATGTTGTTTTATGTGATTCTGGAAATTTTGGGCAAGTATGATCGTCATCTTAACTGCCCTTTTAACTGCCCTAAGTTCACAGCCTTAGTGTGCACCTATTTCATGAAATATATCTATAGAGAGAGCTGCATCAGTCTGGCGACATCACAACAGCACCCTTAGTTGTCAGGAAACAGCCACCGCTTGCCTGTTTTCGTATTTCCTTCAGCCTCTAAACCCTGAGTGTCTTCTTTCCTTAGCGCCAAATCCACACAAACAAATCTCACCAAAGCTTGAAACGTATTTCCATCAACCATCCTGTTTCTAAGACAGGATTTGTTTATGGGTTGAAATACATCACTGACTCACTTACCCTTTTGCTCGCTTCATCGAAGTATACCGTGCACTTACCGTCGCGCACATCCGACAGGTCCCCGAGGCCATGCTGGGCCCCACGCGGCAAGCGGCGAAAGAAGAGAAACCTTTTTTGTGTGTGCGGCTCAGATGCGGAGATACATCGCTTTAGCGCCTTATTATATACTTTCCAAATGCAACTGATGAGATCAGATGCCCCAACTGGTGAACTTAGCGCCCTAGTTTTAGCCTTTCGGATCGAGCAATCACCATCTTTGAGGCCCTTGGGAGTCGAGTCGCACACTATATCACTGCTCTAAAATAACAATAAAAAAGATATGGGTTTTTTTTGGGCTATTTATCCACAGTTATTTTTCCTTCCGAGAATAACCGGCTTATGCATCTCAACAAAGCACACCGAAGCATTATGGATCAAGAATAAAAATAATCTTAAAATCTCTTTCAGATTACGTGACGATATCATCCATCCGCTGAAAGGTGTTTTTTTGTTAGAAAGTGTATAAGGGTGGATGTTGTGGCTTTTGGTTGTGAAATAGCGTATCGATTGATGCATTCATTTTGAGCGGCGGCAGTCCTTTGAATAGGCGCTGGAGACAGGTGTTTTTTCTGTTTGTTATACACAGTCGATCAGTGGATATCTTTCGTTGCGGCAGCATCATGTGGTAAATCTCTTTTGTGAGTACCATGTGGTTCTGAAAAGAAACAAGGGGGAACTCAACGTTTCGGACAGTATGCTCTGCCCGTCTTCAGGAGACAGTCTCCTGACGACGGGCAGAGCATACCGGTACTGTCCGAAACGTTGAGTTTCCTCCGGTTCTTTTTAGAACCACAATATACTCACAAAAGAGATTTACCACATGGTGTTATATTAAACCACTTATATTATTACCTCATCGGATATCTTTTGGATTATTAGCCCTACGATGGCAACATCAGGCTTGTTTTCAAAGCCATGTCTTCACACGTGATAGTGTGATACTACTGTGATTGCATGCAGTACTCCATATTGATGTGTTTTTTGGGCAAATTGAGCCAAATTCCTCAATGAAAAATCCTAATCCGAAACGGATTATTTACAGAGTTGTAGTACTGGTATATGTATACTTGTATTTAAGTATGAGTATTTTTTGAGAGTACTCGCACTCGCACTCGTTCTCGAATATCAAAAATATCGCACTACTCGAGAAGCAAAGTGGGCCTAATTGGACTCGACTATTCGAAATTGTACTCAATTATCAATGTACTCGTTCTTGATTAAAATGACACGGGGACAAATCGAATACAAAATCCATCTTTGGAGACGCATTATGCTCCGTTTTGCGGATACTTTAACAATGGTCTATGGGTATACAAGCCAGTAAATAAGCCCGAAATTGCCTACGCCGGCCAAAATAATCACGATTCACATGCACTCAAATTATCCGGTATTACTAGCATTTTGTGGGCCATGAACTTGAGGGTTTGTAAAAAAGAAGGGTGGAAGGCTTGCAGAGGACTGCGAGCTCGTATTTCTGTGAAATGTGGATGCAATTAGGCCCTACAATTGCTCTATTTTGCAAATACTAATGGAGCGTAGGCATCCTTTTTCAAAATGGCGATGGTCTTCAGGACTACCTTTAGCAGTGATCAGCTTTGGATGGAATTTTCTCCCGAAAGTCATTCGGCAACCTCCCCAAAATTGAATGGAAAATAACAGACGATGAAACAAGCTTTAATGAATTTGATGAGTGTCTTAAACACCTTGGGCTATAGTTGTGAGTATTTTTCATAGGTTTTGGAAGTGGGCGTAATTATCAATGAGGTCTATGGCAGTTTATACTGGTCTGCAACCCTACACACGCTTTGTCTTTACGGGACAATGTGCAACCGACGTCTGCGAGAGATCTCATGAGTTCTCAATGAAGTACTCGTACTCGTACTTGAACTCGGAGGTCCACGTTCTCGGACTTGGCTTTATTAATACAAAACTTGTCCTCGGAGGTCCAAATACTTAAAATCGGGTACCTGTACTTGTTCTCAAGGGTCAAGTGCTTGTATGCAAGTAGTACACGATAGCTTAATTAGTACTCGGCAGTCGGTACTTTGTACTCGAATAAAAGTACTCGTCATGATCGTGACACATGAACCAAGTTAGCCCTCCCCGCCCGTTGATACCCAAGGAAATGAAGGAATAAGCATATTGATAAAATATATTGTCTGCTGGTTGCCTAATTTGGTTTAAACAAAATTGCAGTGATAGCTTCTATTTCGTATCATATCCGTCGTGAACAGTGGCGTAACTTATGGGAGGGGGCGGGATGGGGGCACGCCCCCTTGGTCCCCCCCTCCCGCTAAGAATTTCGGGGACGATAAATTAGCCTTGCATTCTTCAAAAACCCATCGAGTGCCCCTTTCAGAAAAAAAGTGGGCTCCAAATGTGATCACCGCACACGCCAGTAATCGTGAATGAGGCTAATATTTCACACTTCGGTTACAACCTAGCTGAGCGTTTCCAAGGAACCGGAATTAGCCAGTAAGTCAAGGTCCGATGCTCGGCGGCTGCTGATATGCGACCCCCGATCAATCTTCGATCTCTTGGAAAACACTCCATTCGATGACTTGTGCGTCCTTGTACCTGGAACTGACAATGTAATCTTCTCGACCTCCAGGATATGATGATGAAAGCCATATATCAAATGGCACTGCGTGATATGCTGCATGGTTAGGCTAATTGGTCTCCACTTGAAGGATCGGTAAAAGCCTATTTCGTAACTTCCTGTAGGCCTATGCAGTTTTGTTGAATCATCCTTTTGGGGTTTACTCAACCACTGCCACTGGATAAAGTATTGTTTCGATGTTAATTCCACTTCAAGAGAAACTTCACCGTGTTTTCTCATCCTGCTAATGGGCTCATTCAGAAGAATGAGACACAAATATTGATCACGAAAGGGACGGACTACGCGGTGATCAAATCGCTCTTTTTATAACACTGCAGTTAGATATTTAAATGGGAATTTTAAACAACTGTGATGTATTTTTTTTTAAACTCATTAAGTCATATTTTTATATATACTATAAGTGATGTTTGTAATGCTCTTTTTACCACTTTTCTATGAGATTGTACATGTTTTAACTTGTCAATTTAGTGTGTTTGTAATTCTTACAACGCGGTAATTTTTGAAGGAGCAATCAAGAGACAATCTACTGTACTGTATTTGTATGCATTATGTAGCAATAAATCAAATCAATATATCAATACCAGGGTAAAGAAGCAGGTAGTGGTGGGAGCGTACTGCTTGACACCATGTGAACGAGGTTGATGCACATGTAATACATTTTCTGATCAAAGTATTGACGTACAATAAGGCGCCCAGTTCGGCAAAATCCTATCCAAAGGGTCACTGAAGAAAACTTGGGACGTCACTCAGAGACATTCTTGACAAAATTACGGGTAGACATTATGGTTTCTAAGGCTGAACAGACAGTTACACAATCTTATGCCTATTTGGCTGATTTCATGTAACGCTAATCAAACCACAGCTCGGTCGGGGATGCCCATCAGTTGAAAATCATATTTATAATATTTAGAAACAATACAATATAATGTTCTAAAAAATAAGCACCTCAACAAAACATTAACCGTATTAAAGAACAGTTTAATAGTTTATTATGTTTATCATAATGATCATCTCCGTTTTTAAAATAGTTTATTATTGGTACATGTTTATCAGTAATGACTGTACATCTCTCCAAACAGTGAGTGTGTTAATACACATCAGAGAGTGACTATAAGGCAGAGTTACCGTAAGCCAAATACACACAACCAAAGTGCCGCCAAAAAGCAGCAAGCTTTAAATCGTTATCTTCAAAGGGCACACACTTTGCACCGAACACTTTTACTGATTATAAACACAATACCGGTAAGTCAATAATGCCGGTGTCCTGCTTGCGATCGGACTTTGTACCAGCGCAGCCGAGACAACAAGAAAACATGACATTTGAAAGCACCGAACGAAAGCAACGGACAATTCAATTTGCGCGCGGAAACCTGATTTTTTTCGCCCTTTGCTTATACTGGACTGATGGATGGGGAGACACTTGTCATGGGCATTTTCACGAACCGCTTGATTTCATTCCAATAACATAGGTGCCGCAACGACATTTGCTACTCTTCGTTTGACGGTACGGGCATTTTCGTTTAAGGTAAACACTGGAGAAGCAAGGCATAGCATAATTATAACCGCGGCTTTCGCAGCCGCGCTAAACCTCAACACGCAGGAGTTGTTTTAATCTGTGTCCGCCGTCCAATCACACAGCCTAGCCGTGCCGAATGCGCCAGTGCACAAGTCGTTTACTTCCATGGCCGACGGAGTGTAAACCGTGATTTGTTTTGCTTGCAAGTCTGTCTAAACAGTCCCTAAGACCATGTTACAATTTCTCATTGCAGCACTGTGCTTGGTTACCCGCAGAAAACACGTATGTAAAGTGTTCTCGGCAATATGTGTGCCAGAAAAGGAGGTATGCTTTCAATTTTGCGCTCAGTTTGTTGTGATAGAACACAATCTACTGTTAATGTACTAACATCCTACAGCGCTCACGTGCATTGAATATCGATATGATTTCTCTTTGTATTTTTTTTTTGTATTGATGCAAGAAAGTATAAGAATTAAGAACCACATGGCCAGCAGGTGAAAGCAGGGCAAGTGATCTTGCTTCAAGATTTGTCCAACAGCTTGTGATTTCTAAGCATAAGCCTGAGGCAGGTGGTTTATTCTAAATTGCTTATAAAAATCAAATTTCTAAAGTGAGCATAATGAATTAGCCCAATAAAGAAATATTCAAAGAATAAATGTCAGCACCACAATACTTATGTGAAAAAAATATGAGTAGGCCTTTCAATAAACAAGTACATTTATCTTTGATCTACGTTAAGCGGATTTAAATTGAATTAAAGTTAAGATATGAAGTTATTAGCAGTAAGAAAAATAGCTTTGTGAGTTTGACCGACAGGGGGCGCTGTTTAGGGTGGTGTGCTCTGACAATAAGGCTGCATCCGAATCAGCTGTCTAGAGCTAGGTCTAGGTCTGCGCCCATTGAAAATACGCGGGGACGCGCTGACAATAGACGTAGCCGTAGCTCTGGAAGCCCGTTTCGGACACGGCCTATGCATACAAAATGTACGCCACGTAATGCTTCTTCGTCAGGTGAATGTACTAGCGAAGCCCCTGGGCATGTTATTGTTGCACAGGTGCGTCTTCGGATACAGTTTAATGGAACCTCTTCACCCGGGTGAGTGTGGCAAAGCAAATGGGTTTTGGCACACTTAGTTTGATGTGCAACACCCGTGGGCAATATTGTACATGTATTATTCAGAGGCCATTTACGAACTGCCAGCTACAATTGTATGTCATGCTCACTGCAAATGTAAAAACGTGCGTAAGGCCAAAAAAAAAAGTCTCCGGTTTCTGGTATGGAGCTTGCCCCAAAAGTGGTGCGGCGACACGGCTTTTTTTTTTTTTTACCCGTTTTTTTTTTTTTTTGGCTTCAAATGTCGGCTGATGACTGCAAATGGTGCCCGACTAAACTTAGTGCAAATATATGGGAGTCCAAAGAGGCCACATAAAGCTTATTCTCGATCATAACCCCATCTAAAAACACGTTAAAATTGTGCAGCAGCAGAATTCCAGTCGAACCAGTGAGTTTGGCGATTTTTAGACATCATCTTGTATTGAAAAAAAAACTTTTTCATTTTGCCGACGCGCATGGCTACGGCGACGCGCGCGCATACCAGAAACCGGAGACTTTTTTTTTTTGGCCTAACAACACAGTTTGCCTTTTTACTATCTACATGTGTTCAATCTTAGTTTGGTTTAAATGTCAATACAGTAGATATTTACCATCATAACTGTGAATACATATCTCTGTAACTACCGGAGATGACGGTCTTAAAGGTATAGTACATCATTTGTCATTGGTGCATATTATTTTTTTTCATTTGAAGCAACAAAAGTGCTCAAAATCTAAAGACGGGTGCTTAACAACTAACCTGGGCCCAATTCCACGGCGATGCTAAGCACAAAAAAGTCTGGCTTATAAAAGCAGGATACCAGCCAAACCTCCATGTGTTTTCCATGAAAGCAAACAACAACCGAATACTAATCATGAACAACATACATCACTTGGAGTTCTGCTTTTATAGGCCAGACTATTTTAGTGCTAAGCAAATGAAATTGGCCCTGATAAAGCGTTAGGTCTGTGAATGCTTTAATGGGCCTATTTCGACAAAAAAAACCCCAATATTCTGGATCTCGATTTCAATTCAAATGCTGCTGAGTCACGACACAATCCTGAAATCAGCATTCGGGACATGATTCTCATTCAGCCGATTGTTGCTGCGTGACGTCACACACTTAATTAACCAACGGTTCTCGCTTATGAGCAACCCGCGCGTGCGTTCTGTGTCAGCGAGCTTGCACCCATTCACGGATTCGCCCAATTACAAACCAACTGCCAACGGAAATTTTCAAAAATGTGTCACTTGACGCATCTGAGGGAATGACATTCTCTTCTTGTTTTCTTCAAAATGACAGCATGTCAGAAGGAATAATTTCACAGGGAGTTTAGTGTCATTAATATCTTTAAACCAAGTACGTTTCAACAATAATTTGGTCAGCTACTTTTTGGAAAGATGAAAATGGTCCACACTACCTTTAAGCTTTTTTTTGCAGTTGACGTCTTGTTTTTATATTAAAAAAAAAGAATAAAAGGCCGTAGGCCTAGTACCTTGAAACATCTACTATTTAATATTTAAAAAGTTAGATATCCAATCAATACTATGAAAATAGATCCAGTCATTTTATATACTGGTAATGCACCAATTACATGTTCTTATGAAAGTTGATCCAATTCAACATACTTTACGTGCTTTTTCTATTCGTCACATGCCCAGATCGAAATATTAAACATCAGTTTACCACAGCAGAATGTTGAAATTCATCATTTACTACGACATTTAATTTCGTCTGCAACGGTAAAGTCTACGTAAGCTACATCCAGAATACATTTCGTGCATGAATACTGTGGTCATGGGCGTCACGAGGGGGGGGGGGGGGCAAGGGGGAAATTGCCCCCCTCCCCCGGAAAAGCAAAAAAAAAAAAAGAGAAAAAAAAAGAAAGAAAAGAAAAGTGGCGTTAAGTAATAGTGGTGTAAATTTATTGAGTTGGGGAGGGGCAAAATGTAACTGCCCCCTCTAAAAAGTGATAAATCGAGAATATGTTGAGAAATACAGGAATTTTTTGGGAAAAATATGTTTTGCCCCCCTCTAGAAAAACATCCTGGCGACGCCCATGACTGTGGAATGAGAAACGCACACAAAATTCAGAATGTGATCACGTAATACTGTATGCGAAAACAAATCGCCCCGATTAAAATCTAATGGACTTTAATTCAGTTATGATTAAAGGCATTTAAAATAATTAAAATATTCAAGTTGAGATTGAAAGAAAGGAAATTCAATTATACGTCAAGCCTAAACGATAATTACTTTCGCCCGGATGCCGTGAAGTGATTCCGATCAGCGATGGACGCTTGATTGAATGCGGATCCACGGTATATAACTATCAACACACACATTATGGTTAACCATTAACCCGAGTAAACATCGATTACCATCGCTCCCTCTAGTCAACGGCATCCGATAAACCGATAACCGACGTACTTTGTCACACATTTACAACATATTCTTGTATTATACAGAGGCACCACGGTACATGGTATGATGTTTGTGTGGGTGAAAAAGTGGAAAGACCAAGAAGTGCTCTGACCTAACGATTGTTTAGCAAAAAAACCAACACCACCTTCAAACACATGTATCCATCTCATGTGGCACCGTACTGTCTATTCCATTCAGAATATCGAGTTGAAATCTTCGTCATGTAGCGATGGACTTCACCTAGGGGCAGCCGCATCTCAGCGCTTGCTTTTCTCCCAAATTCACCTAGGGACATGTTGCACGCTTCATACGCGAACGGTTAATTGCAACCCGAAGCGACTATTTAAGCGGCCTAATGTGGCCGAAAATGCTCCTTCCGACATCTTAAAGACGGCTCATAGAGAGATTTGCAGTAAGCCTGTGTGATCCACAGGGATACAGCGCTTTTTTTTTTTTTTACAGAGAACTACGATGGTAAAAAGTTGTGCGATATCTAAATGTGTTATATCTAATGCTATATAAAGGAATGTTCCTGCGTCCTGATTTGAACTACCTATCTTAATCTTAATCTGCAACGATACTTCTTTTATTGAGTGGGGATGGGGAAGTTGGGAAATAAGCCCCTATCTGTCCTAATACCTCACTTGATTTTTTTTTTATTTACACCAATTATTATTATGTGCAATTGTGCATTAATTTCATGCTTAAAATATAATAATTTCATCCCACTTCAATTTTCGTGGATATTATATACAATAAATTCATACAGTGAAAGATATTTTTGCAATCCTGTATATAAACCTTAATGGCGTGCTTTTACTCTTTGTTCACCGCAGTCATCATTATCTCGAAAGAGATATTATGGCTGAAATACGCTTCGATCAAAATAGTGAACTGCATGGTTGGTATAAATACCACGGTTTGGGGCTCCAGTTTGCTGATCCCTGCACCAAGGCAGCTAAGGCAGCTGGTACACGTCAATTTTGTGGCGCTCCCATTGGTCAAAATTGTGCATGATGATCAGACCGGCGCCGTCATTGGCTGTCGAAGGCATTTTCTTCCCAAGACGATATGCTTCGAGTCAGCAGCCTGTACCGAGATAGGTGGGTACGAGTGAAACATGCCACGTTGGTCTTGAATATTATTGGTCACTCAGCCGTGACAATAAACACTGGTTTCCTCCGCAGCGTTCCTTGTGATATGCTATCGTTGCATGTTTGAATCCAAATTAGATGAAACCAGCGAAGTTAACCTCGAACCCAGGACTTTCAGATGCCTCCTGCTGTATTCCTTTGAGAACCGACGAGATGTGGAAAACACTGCGGACGAGGTTACAATGAAGAAACGTTTGACTGAATCGTTGTCAAGTATGCGACGATATTATTCCAGTATATGAACACCAGTTCATAGCGACTACCAGCTACGTTGGGGATAAATCATTTGGAGTTCTTAACGTAATAAGAACTGGCAGCATTTTACCTCGTCAGTGCCGATCAATAGATCAATTTTATACTCACTTTGCCAACTTTTCATCAACTACTGAATGTATAGTCATTTGGTGGCACGACTAAAAAAATCACACTTCTTGAATGACGAATGCATACAATTCAACAGCAAAAGAAAGTAGTTTCAAACTTTCCATCTTGGCTTCCAAACGACGATCAAAACCGCCCATCGCTTCCAAACGGAGTTCCTTCAAAGTTCCATTAAAGTCGTTTTGCATTGTCCGCCATTAGCATTGAAATCTAATTGAGGGTTTGCTTCCATTTCCATTATCTGAAAACTGAAAAAGAAAAAGATAGGTGTTAGAGAAGTTGTTTTATACTTGCAGTGAGCGATCGGTTGGCTGGAGACGTTTACTCCCTTCACTTGAATGACCTAAATAGACCTTGTGTGTATAGTCGTGTTCCCTATAACGTGGCGCACTTCATAGCTTACCCAACTTTCCTCGTGTAGTGTTGCCAAACCTCTGTGTTGACAAACCTCAAATCCATGCAGTAAAATACTGGTACTTTTACCTTATCAATGCGTGCTATTTAATCTCTGTGAACAATTTCGGTTTCATAAAATTTAATCCGAAATTCAAAAACGGTGGCATCCGGAAATTGGGCACAAATTCGCGGAGTGTTCCCTAACGTGGCGCACTTAAATAAATCTCGGAAAATTCCAAATTAACATTTAAAAATTGCTGTTAACTTGATAAATTCTGATAAATTAATATTATCTCCACTTACATACCCATCCAGATGTTTGTCAGAAAATTATTTTCTTATTTTCCGGGGCATTTTCAAAGGGTTCACTTTGCACTTGAAAATATAATCGGAAAATCACGCCAAAAAAATCTTCTTCTAACTTTGTAACGGGTAAATAAACTCGCAATTTATGAACGGGAGTGTTTAGAACTTGATGAAATGTCACTTTCTGTGAAATTTCATTTAAAACTTTTGCTCTGGCTAGGCGCTACAGGCGAAAAATCAAAGAGCGCCACGTTGCGTTGGGGGCCGCGCCACGTTAGGGTACATCAACAATATAGCCGCCATCATAGAGGATGTTCAGTAACTATGAGTGCACACAAATGTACTCATGCTATGCCCAACCAATAGGTACCAAAGCACTGCCCACTAAGATGGCAACAACTCATAATGTCTATTCAAGCCCTGTCAACTCCTTTGTTCTACAATCAATTAACATTTCGTGGTAGAATCGCGTGAACGCAGCTTGTGAAATATTGTCCAATTACATGAATAAAAAATGGACGCGGAACGCGCAAAATCCGAGCCAAACAAAACTTAACGTACAAAATGCCATAGGGTTGTCTTAGGGGCGTGGCTAACTCGCAAACGATTACCTAAAAATATCATTAAAGGCCGTCATACTTGAATGCGATGCAAATGTGAATGCGATGCGAATTTGACGTCACGAAGCATTTGCTGCGAAATTCGCCCGAGTTGAAATGTGTTCAACTTTTGCGAACTCGCAGCGCGAAAACTCCTCCTGACGTCACCGTGCGTCCGGTTTCGCACCGAGAATGAACCGGCCTTTAAGGTAGCAGACCAGTAAATAAACTTCCATAGACCCCAATGGTAAATTCTCCCACTTCAAAAATTCGGGAAAAATACTCACAACTCTCCAAGGTGTTCGAGACACACATCAAATTAAAGCTTATTTCACCATCTTTCATTTTCTTTTCAATTTTCGGGGGGTCAACTGATGACTTTTAGGAGAAATTTCCATCTGAAGATGAACACCCCTGAAAATAGTCCTGAAGCCCATCGCCATTTTGAAAAACGATGCCTACACTCCATTGCAAAGTAGACCGCTTTTAGGGTCCAAATTACATCAAAATTACACAGAACTGCAAGCTCCAAGTCCTGTGCACGGTTTCCACCCATATTTTTTACAAACCCTCAAGTTCATGGCCCACAGCATGCTCAAATACCGAAGATTTTGAGGGCATGCAAATCGTGATTTGGCCGGCGCAGGCAATTTCGGACCGATTTACTGTGATCGGAGGACGGTCCATCGGTCCTATTCAGATTTTGGGCGCATTTGTTGCGGAACCGCCATTGGTGACCGCTTTTGAAACGCTGCCCCCCCCCCCCAGGTTCCGCCCCCCTGAAAAAAAAACCACTCCGCAAACATTTGACAACAAACGGTGGAAGGCGCCATTTTGAAACTATAGGTAGCAGACCAGTAAATAAACTTCCATAGACCCCAATGGTAAATTCTCCCACTTCAAAAATTCGGGAAAAATACTCACAACTCTCCAAGGTGTTCGAGACACACATCAAATTAAAGCTTATTTCACCATCTTTCATTTTCTTTTCAATTTTTGGGGGGTCAACTGATGACTTTTAGGAGAAATTTCCATCTGAAGATGAACACCCCTGAAAATAGTCCTGAAGCCCATCGCCATTTTGAAAAACGATGCCTACACTCCATTGCAAAGTAGACCGCTTTTAGGGTCCAAATTACATCAAAATTACACAGAACTGCAAGCTCCAAGTCCTGTGCACGGTTTCCACCCATATTTTTTACAAACCCTCAAGTTCATGGCCCACAGCATGCTCAAATACCGAAGATTTTGAGGGCATGCAAATCGTGATTTGGCCGGCGCAGGCAATTTCGGACCGATTTACTGGTCTGCACCCTATAAAGAAGCGAGGTTTTGAAAAATTTCTCCAAACCACTTGTACGGCACGAGGAAGGATGGATGACTCATATTTCATCAAAAAATTGCGAGAAACAAAATCTCTGACTGCGATTTCTGGCCTGAAAACAAGCCCTCTGTTTGCGGCTACCTTACTGTAGGGCGCCCCCAACGGGCGTGAATTGAGTTTTTGCTCCTTCCGACCCCAAATTACCCCCCCCCCCTTTGTTCGCTCGAAATTGCTGTGATCGGAGGACGGTCCATCGGTCCTATTCAGATTTTGGGCGCATTTGTTGCGGAACCGCCATTGGTGACCGCTTTTGAAACGCTGCCCCCCCCCCAGGTTCCGCCCCCCTGAAAAAAAAAAACACTCCGCAAACATTTGACAACAAACGGTGGAAGGCGCCATTTTGAAACTATAGGTAGCAGACCAGTAAATAAACTTCCATAGACCCCAATGGTAAATTCTCCCACTTCAAAAATTCGGGAAAAATACTCACAACTCTCCAAGGTGTTCGAGACACACATCAAATTAAAGCTTATTTCACCATCTTTCATTTTCTTTTCAATTTTCGGGGGGTCAACTGATGACTTTTAGGAGAAATTTCCATCTGAAGATGAACACCCCTGAAAATAGTCCTGAAGCCCATCGCCATTTTGAAAAACGATGCCTACACTCCATTGCAAAGTAGACCGCTTTTAGGGTCCAAATTACATCAAAATTACACAGAACTGCAAGCTCCAAGTCCTGTGCACGGTTTCCACCCATATTTTTTACAAACCCTCAAGTTCATGGCCCACAGCATGCTCAAATACCGAAGATTTTGAGGGCATGCAAATCGTGATTTGGCCGGCGCAGGCAATTTCGGACCGATTTACTGGTCTGCACCCTTAAACGGACTCGACAAACATCTTGCATCATCTTCCGTTCCTGAAACGGTGAAAGTGCCCGCTGGCCTTCAATCAAAGGACCTTTTTTGACGCTCAATTTGGCGCAGTGACTTTCCTCGTCCTGCAACCTCTGGCACCTCCGGTTCGCACCTTGCCCGGCAGTCGTGTGTGGGTTGCTTTCGTTTTTCTCTATTTCAGTTATTCGCGTGGGTAAGTCGTTTCTCGAGGTAACAATAATTCTCCGCAGTTTTACTCCCACAACTCAAACTGACATTTTCTTGTCTCCTTTCAAGGGATTGTTGCATACTGTATAGTAAACTCATGAAAGATACACAAATGTACATTACAGGGTCCCTTGGGACACTGCCAAAAAGAAACAACAAATTATCAGCCTTGACACGGGTAACATGCATGGGCAATATTCACGAGTCGGCCATATCAAATTGAAAGCGAGATAAAATCTTCATTTTTGGAGCTTGCGAAGAGAATTGAAAACAATGACATACAGTTAATTACAAATTAATACCAGTCTGGTCTAATGAATAACCTTAAATTTGTGATTAAAACATACCCTAATGGTTAAAGCTACATTAAAAAAACCTGAAAGTGAGGCTAGAATGTGTAAATAGTCTGGCACCATCCCATTCATCAGTTTACAATTTATAAAATACATTCAGGGAACACGACCAAAATTGCTTCCTCGTGAATCAGGTCCATTCTTTTCGCCCACAAAGTTATGAAAACACAGATTTCAAGTACATTATGGAGCTGTGTGTGTTCGAAGATTTCTTTGCATACAACCTTTACCAATACTGCGAAATGAGACCGAGAGTAACTAACCAACTGACCTACTGACATTTCAAAACCAGTCGTCAGCTGTCACGGACGAGAAGACAACTGTGTTAACGGCTTTCAATGTTTAACCAATCGGAAGGACATCGCGCCTCCGTGCCTGACGTGTGGCCACATCGTGTATTCATCCGTGCATAATACTCGATTTAGGTCGTTAGTTGGCAGGTCGCATGCACGCACCCGTATCAATAATTCACGGACAGTAACAATTTTGCGAACCAGTTTTTTTTTTACACACAATTTAAATGCTCTTAAGTTTAGCGCAAAACCCATATGTGGATGTATTCTTAGTTGACCGAGACAGAAAACTTGATTAACGAGGGAATGGGCGCCGACCCTGGGGTGGGGATGGGTGAACATGTTCCCCCCCCCCAATATAATATATTTTTTTTGCGCGGGGCACGCCAATTGTGATGTCCCTTCCAGTAGTTTATCCCAGCGCGTACAGATTCCAACCCAGTGTACCTAAATTTGCATTGTTTTCCCCCAAATAGTGTAACAGGTCTAAAATACCCCTCGTGCAAACTCATTTTTTTCCGGAGATGCAAAAGCATATTCCAGGGAATGGGCTTAGTTGCTTATATTAACAGTTATGATATTAATATCTTAAATCTGTGCGTTTGAACAGTGCCCCCCCCGAGTCAGATGGCATCTACTCCTCCCACCGTCTTGATCACGGTCCCCCGTTCCCCCAGATTTTACAAGAAATTACCCTGATGTAGGTACACATTGTTGTTACTGAAAAAATAAATATGCGTTGAACGGAAATCAAGTTGAAAGCTAACACGATAGCCCTTAAAACTTGGAGAAAATAGTAACTATTTGGACTGCTTTAAGAGTTGGGTAGCCTGTAGCCCCATTGGTTTGTGGCTCTAGGATACCCGATATCACACGATATCACACGATGCACTATTTCGTCTCGCCCCGCAAAGGTCAGCCGTTTAGGAACAGTTTTTTTACCCCATGTTTAAAATCTGTTCTTTAATGCGCCTTGGGTCTAAACGGAATTATTTCTTAAGACATTCCTCCTTTGCCTAGTGAGAATCACCACCATCTAAGACCTACAATAACTTTCTAAATCGTAAATCGTTTTTTAGATCCATGTGATAAAAGAATCATAATTGGAATGTTTCGGTTGCTGGCTAAATTTGAAAATTGCGCGCTAAGGTACAAGATGAGCAACGCATGATTGCCAGGCGCGTGATGCTGCGACTGTATTCCTCTCAAACTAACACCCTTGACAAGATTCAAGCAAAGCCTCTTGTGCTTCGAGAAGTGCCATCATCCCAGGTGTATTTTGTTTGCGTAGTGATTTGAATCGAAGTGATAAGAACCTGCCAATCATAAGCGTCAATAATACTGCGGTTCAACAGGACTGACCTGAACTCAATCATCGAGAGTGCGTTTCTCTTCTCACTGAGTGCTGTCAAATTATTGTGGAGTATTTTGAAAGAAAACGGCGATATTAAGCTGTCAATCACGGACCGTATTTCAACCACGGAGTGATTTCTTAATACATGAATGTTAATGGCCTACGATTGTATTTGACATCCGTTCGGAATATTATACCCAAAGACAGCTCTTCTTTATTCCTTTCAGTTATGAGACTGGCTATAACTACATAATTATATACTAAGGATGAACAGATTGAATTTTGTTAGATTCTGAAGATTGTTGTGCTTTCTCAGATCCATTTCATTTTGGCATTTTGGCAACCCCGGAAAATCGTTAGGACACTCTGCCGCGCAATGTACTGTCGGTAAGAGAATATTAAACACTGACGAAGTGAGAATTGCACGAATGTAATATGAACCAAACTTATCGAGATATTGTAATGGAAAGCGCCCAATTGGACTATTAAGACGCGTTTTTTTTTCATGAAATGATACTAGTTTAGAAAGAGCATTTAAAAGTAGAATATAAACATCCACAAAACAATACTTTACAAATAGGCAATTTGTATTATCTTTACGGGAACAAAATGTTGGGGTCAACAGTTTGATCCAACAGTTTTTCTGAAAGGTCTGGTAGTGAGATTGTTTTCTTGAGAACAGACTCACAGAGTACACAAAAACGTCGTGAATCGCTCTCAAAACCACTAGCAACTTCAGAACTAACTTGCCTCATATTCATAAAATAGATTAATTAATAGCTAGACGTTGTTATTAGCAAATCTCATTCATACAAAGCTTCAGCTCATGCACCGTACCTTTCTTTTGAGGTCTGCGATGGCCCCGGGTTAGCCACCGACTCCCCCTGCCCGATCACGCTGACCTTTACTGACGGAGGTGGGTGAATGATGTCCACAATGACCGTAGATGCGGGGACGTCGGTCCCGTCTATAGGGAACCCTATACCGCGGTGGTTCCCCTGATGATGGTGGTGGTTTGGCACCAAAGTGTGCTTGACTTTGACGGCACCAGTGTCGTCCGAATCGGCGTCCAGGAGGCGTACTTCGGCCGCTAACTTGTCCCCGTCCCTTTTCAGGCTTCCCTGGTACCCACTGTCTTCGGCGTCCCGCTGCTGCCCGTCCTTACCCTTCCGGAGTTTGCGTTTGTACAGCATGGCGTAGCAGACCAGCCCGATGCTTATACCGACTAGGATGACTCCCACCCCGCCGAAGACGGGCCCAAGGAGTTTCAAGATGCTCTCCTTGGCGTTGGTACCGTGCGTGAAGGCCACCACTGTCAGACTAGTGCCGGGCACCAGGCAGAAGAATCCGGTCAGTGCCAGTAAGAATGCCGCGCCGTAGATCTTGGCGCGCCGGCCCACGCGGCGTCGCCGTCGCTGTCGCCGGTGGTGGCTGCCCTTGTGCTTCTTGAGGTGGATGTCATCGTCGTAGTGGACGTGGCGGGACCCGCGTGACATCTTGTCGGATTGCCGTCATGGGACACGCTGGTGGTACGGGCTTAATGAGGGGACGGCAGATCGTCAGTCAATCTGAGTAGAACAAAATATTAGATGAACACAGAAGTTAACACAATCTGTTAAGTTAAGGTCACTGAATTTCAAAAGGCTGCTTTTAAACCTTAATTACACTTTAGGAAACGCATATTTTTGTGATGTGAGTAGTTTGACAGGATTATGGGAATAAAGCATTTAAACTGCTTCTCATTTGTTATATTATTTCCCGGGATATTTCGCCGTGAAATTTTGGAAAAATGATGCTGAATCTCACCTTCAAATTCGAAAAGTAAAATGATTATTTTTAAGTGTTTAACATTTTGACTACCGATACGTAAATCCCTGTTTAAGGTTAAGGATGACAAAGATAAGTATTCTTTAGAAGAACATAAAGAAGATGCACAGAAGATGCATCACATCTTCGCTTTACGCCTAGTAGGCCTCACATTTTGATCAAGTGTTTAATGGTATTCGCCGTTTAGAGCAAGGGCCAAATCTTGTCAAAATCCAGCTCGGCTTTAAAAAAGAAAGAAAAAAGAATTGACCGTTTATGCATGAAAATAACACAAACTCACGATCAATGAATCACAATAACCACAGCTCATCAGGGAGTAATTTGATACAAAATCCCGGATAACGTGAATGTGATCCGGGGTCTGTATTCTCCGTGTAATTGAATACGAGTATAGGGACTGCAAAGAGAAGGATATAAACGCCGTTTCTGATCTCCCTACCCGAAGGTAATGTAGGCTCACAGTCCCGTTTAATAAGGCATCGTCTATCCACTGTACGGCGTGGGTTAGATTAATACTGCCTTGTAAAGTGAGGGACTGATAAATCGGAGACTCGTTCCGGAGTACCTAAGTAGCGCGAATCACACATTGCCTCGGGGTGTTCATCTCCACGAGCGCGTACAATCTTCATTTTACGCGTCATGTCTCAGCTCTTCCGTCCGTGTCCTATTTAGCCCGGCCGCTCCGTCACGGTGGCTCCCTGATCCCGCCAGGGCCTGCAAGTTCCTCCTCGGCTAAATCACGGAAACTAACACCTCGCTCGAATCAATTTCAGACGTCAGTGATGATTTTGTATGGACCTCGGTTGGAGATCAATCGGTTATTGCCAATGCAGCCCTTGAGAGCAAACTCCTCATATTCAGCAGAACCATCAGGATAAAAAAAAAATCAAAATCAAGAACAGATATCTGATACGCACTCGGGATTGTCATGTTTTGACATTAGGAGCGTCTTAAATAAGCATTCATTAGAGGATCATCTGAGACAAGGCAGGATTTGATCAACTTTGACACTGTGTGCACAGTAACACGGCTTCTTGTTTCCAGCTTATACAGCAGGTATACTTATCGCTTTGCCCTTTCAAAAATCCTCGTGAGTTACTCGCGAACAGCGACTTTGTCTATTTTGATATACGGCTTTGTTGATACCTTAAATTGCACGCATATTGGCCAATTACATGCAAGTTTAGAAAACGGTGCTAGCTTGGTGACCAATCAGGAGTATGCATACATTGACATTAAACAAGCAGCCACCGGACTGGCCAAAGGAGATGTATTTACCAACCGCTATTTATAGCCATTCGAAGGCAAACAAGTAAGCATTCAAGTAAAGCGATGAATTTGTAAAACCTTTCTGATCTTGTTTTAAAGATTCGTTGTCAGCAATCTAAAAGGTCATATTAATTGCACACGCAATGACGTCACTTTCAAAATGGCGCCATTTGAAAATGAAACACCATCTCCTTTTTAGAGTGTTTGCTGGTGTTATGAATATATTATTGGCATGAAATTTCCAAGAAAACCAATCTACATGCAGATGGCGAATTCTGTTCTTGTGAATTAAGAACCTCTACAGGTTTGTAACCTGGACACTCGTGAGAAAGAAAATAGCCACTTCACCGAGAGATTTTTACATTCATCCAGTGACCACGCCCCCAAGGAAGATGTCCGCTATAATTACGTACAGACGACCTGTATCAGGTTACAAAATCATCCCTTATACATGACAGTCAATCTTTAAAACACCAAAATCCAGCGCACTAAAATGATATCACTTTGTCAAATAGAATGCATGGGATTGATTTTTGCCAGTGGCCTTGTCCTGAGCACGTATATGCCTACTTCAGGCTCCGCACGCGTGGTTTTCGATCAGTGGCAGCCAACTCTCAGGCCGTATGAAGCCCTTCAGTCACCGGCGCGGCCGGTCGATATCCAAGGCCCGACGCGATGGCCACACAGATGAGTTTTCCACCCCGTAGATTCTCATCAAATCAAAAACATCAACCAGGCGTGTTTCTCGCATTCTTTTTGTTCATTATCGTCTGAATTCAATCCCAATAATATCGGTTGATGGTCAGTCGATATAGAAATTGCATCATGTGTTAAGTGCACATTGAACGAATGCACGGCGTATCGATGAGGACTGATTTAATGAAGTAAAGTGGTCCACGGCGCCGTTGAATCCCCCCCCCCCAATAAAAAGACACCCCTAAACTCGAAACCCTCTGAATGGTGGGCGTGTGTCTGTTTACATCGAAGTCTCGACAAACCTCGACAGGGAATCAAACTTAAGCTTTGATGGAAATGGGAGTGACTAGGGACCTTGATTAGAAATGGTACGTGTACGGGATATGTATGCGAGTCGGGAATACGACCTGGATAATCGTTATGCATTCTGTGTGTGGTTATTCACCAAATGCGAAATACAAATCTTAACAGTTTGATGTGAAAGGCACATTTTGCCCATAATGTGCGCGTGCCAGATGAAATTACCATGTAAAACGCATTCCTTAAAATACGCGTACCATTTGTAATGGTCCGTAAAGGGACATTACGACATGGAATGCGCCAAAAACGCGTTTTAAACGAAATTATATTAGATAGAAAGAGCATTTTAAAAGTAGAATATAAACGTCCACACAACCATCCTTTAAAAACTGGGCGTTTTTGTATTATTATTGCGAGAATCATGCGAGAATGAATTTCGGGGGTCACATTTCCCCCGAAAAATTGAGCTGTTTAGTGCTATTTGTGATTAGCCTTGTGTGTATTGGTGCTGTGTGTATGGTGTGCTGGAATTTACTACCTTAAGGAGACATGCACACAATAGGAAACAAAAGATTGTATACGTCTCCGCAAGAACATTTCTATAGATGAATACGTCTCCACAAGAATTTCACGAAATAGATATATGGATTTTACTCAAAAACTAGGAATTTCCAAGGTAGGTTGATTTGTCGCAAATGGAAGAGTTTTAGAAAAGGGATATTTAGTCCAAATTTCAGCCCAGGAAATTAATTCTGGTTAAAATAAGAGCATTTTGAAACTTTAATTTCAAACACGAAAACTTTACTACACGAGAACAAAGAAATGTCTCCACAGGAATACAAATTCCAGAATGTGTGTACCACACACACAACGTGTAGTGTGCATTGAATGGACACAATTTGAAATGCGTATGGGTACGCCACAGAGGGTCCGCTCATAAGTCCGACGCCCCATAGGTCCGACGCCTCATAAGTCCGACGCCTTATAGGTCCGACGCTTCATAGCTCCGACGCCTCGTAGGCCGCCGACAAATTAAACGCCTCGTTTTTCCGACGTCGGACTTATGAGGCGTCGGACCTATAAGGCGGAATAAATAAATTGTATGCCTCATAAGTCCGACGCCACATAAGTCCAAAATTTTGGACTTATGAGGCGTCGGACCTATGAGGCGTCGGACTTATGATATAGAATATCCGTCGCGTCCGATGTAAACAACTGTGTTTTTTTCCCCGTCTTTTCTCGGGAACGGTACATTAGGTTTTTTTTCATTCACCCAGACCTTTGAAATAGCAAACAGTCCAAAGCATGAAATGTTCTGGGATTTCGGGCCGTAATGCTTCTTTAAGAGTGGCGGAAGGCTCGGCAGGGAGAAAGAGTCATTAAAACGACGCAGGAGATGTATTACACATAGCGATCGATAACAATGTAATGATGATGGTGGTGATGAGTGGGATAATAGTGGTGAGTGTAATGGTGATTTCAGAGCGGTGATGCGGTGATTGTGTGACGGTGGTGATATATGACGGTGGTGTAGGGTGACAGAGAAGGTATAGGCGTCGATGGTGACCGATGGTGGTGACTGTGATAATAACGACAATGGTGATAGAAAAAAAAGGCCAATTGTCGAATTGCCGGCAGTTGGCGAGTTAGCCACGCCCCTTTTAGACAACCCTATCCGGTTCGTTAGTAAAAACGTCATACACGCGCGCACACCACTGGTTACTAGCGCCCATTGGCTACAAACGCTCGAGCTGCGTTAACTTCCGGTTCCAATCGTGCAGCAAGTGCTGGAGGTGACGTCACACTAACGAACCGGATGGAATTTTGTACGTTCAGTTTTGTTTGTCTCAGATTTTGCGCGTTCCGCGTCCATTTGTATACCCTGTAATTGGACAATATTTCACAAACTGCGTTGACGCGATTCTACCGCGAAAGGTTAATTGGATAACGATGTGAGTGACGAGTGCAGTACATTTTGCTACAGCTGTAAAGAGTGACAAAATGATGACGACGAAAAGAAAGAAAAAGAAACCAGACACAGACATGCAATTAGGAATTCTGACGATGACAATTAGGATAACATCGATGTCGGGACACGGAGTAAACAGAACTGAAATTGCTCCCCGGAAGTGGTATCAGCTTGTGATCCTCATGGACTAATAGTCAGGGGCTCATTATTTGTAGCCTCGCCTTCTATTATAATACAAGCCCAAGGTATACATATCCAGACATGTACATACACACAGGCATATGGTGTCCTCTTTACTTAGCCGTGTCTCCAGTTGAACCCCGGCCCCATGCATGCCTCAAATGAAATTATCCGATAATTTAATTCACCTAAACAGCAGCCTTTATCTCTTCTGTCGGATACACTCCCCGTTTATTTGATTTAGCGCGGCCCCGTGCATGTGGGCAGAGAGTTAGGGAAACATCAAAACAAATTTATCAACATTACTTAAAAACGGGTCCTCGTCCT